CTGAGGGGCTCCTAAAGATGCCTTTCAATGCCCCCAACCACCTCGAAAAAACGGAACGCGATTCCATGATGTTTACATGAAGATATAGGGTTTTGAATGTGCTCCCACTGTCGAATACCGTCCTACCACCTTAAGCAGAAAGACCGGCATGGCCCGTCAAGTGAGTAAGGTAGACTCTACTGGTGGCTTTAGACCATCTTAGGTTAACCGAGGTTAGGTCAACCTAACACTAGCAACAGGATTACTGCCTGCCCTTCCCAGCACTTCTCATGAGCAGCCCATTTCAGCAGGAAGTTTCGAGAGCTCCCGTATCATCTACGAAGGTTGCAACATTGTCCAACAGGTCCCACAAATCATTCTTTTGTAAAGTACCAAAAAAACTTCTCCACAACTTTTTAAGGAAGAAGATCTGCGCCTAGGAATGACAATAAGCAGCCATGTCGCGCCACCACCACCAGGACGCGAATGCTACTGCCGAAATGCACGTGGCGGGGGTGACATCAGCTCTCTCCGCGCTGCGAGAGCTGATTGCATGGCCCCTCCTTTACTGGGAAGAGGGCCTCTCCCTGGGGGTGCAATGGCCCCGCGGGGTACTGCTGCACGGCCCCCCTGGAGTGGGGAAAACTCTTCTGGTCAATGCTGTAGCTAAGGAGTGTGGGGCTAGCATCCATCCTCTGAGCGCTGCTTCGGTGTTTGGCGCGTTCGCAGGCGAGAGCGAGGAAAGGATGAGAAAGACATTTGCAGATGCAGAGAGGGAGGCACGAGCTGGCTGTCCGGCTATTGTGTTTATTGATGAGATCGACGCGCTCTGCCCTCGGAGAGACGCACGGTGAGGGGCGTGTGCAGCTCTTTGTGCTTCTCAACAAATTGCACTTCAGGGCATTTGCTGCTCTTTGTACCTACAATCATAAGTCAGGTATCAGAATGTAATCAGATATAGACTTTGGGAGAACTTGTCGGTGGTGTCACTGTTGAGGGCGCCTGCCAGGCTTGGCGCAATTGTTGAATGGGGGAACTTGGCTCCCGTCTTACGCTGCGGTTCCATCAGCGAACCTATCAGATGGGGCCACATTGACAACCTGGTCTAACCAATGAATAAGTGAATAAGTTTCCTTTTCAATTGGCCTTCAGCTATCGTGCCACCCTTCTCGGTCAGAAGTTTGATGAACCCGCACCCTGTTTCTTAGACAGTCCTGGTGACAATACCCCAGCATCTTGTAAGGGCCAACTATCTGTTTCTGCACCACCTTCCTTCAATACGGTTCACAAGGGCTTGCTGTTTGAATTCAATGGAGCCAAACGGCCCCTCAATTCGACAACATTATATACCGTAATATTTGCTCCCCTGGTTTTACTTTTAACCCCGAGAAAAGGTATGTGTGGTGGCTCCACTTGGCCAGTAAACAATGTGGAGGCAATCGCAGTGATCAAATATATCCGTCAGTAAAATCGTTTTTCCCATACGCCAGCAGGAGGCGTGCGTGGTGTCTCCATCGGGTCAGTAGACAAAACCACATAGTAAAGCAATGACCAAATTACGCCTAAGTCACGTTTTCGTCTCCCCAGGCGCCAGCAGGAGGCGCGCGTGGTGGCCCAGCTGCTGACTCTCATGGACGGTATCACTGGGAAATCGAGCACGAGGCGGAAAGCGAGGGTGCTGGTAGTGGCGGCGACCAACAGGTGTGGGAGCTCTGCTTTGCGTGTCTGAACGGGTGGTTTGACCAGGTTTACTGTTGTTCTAAAAGCCCTTCAGTTTTCCAAAAGCAATCAGGAAATAAAACGGGTTGATCATGGTTCTTGAGTCTGAAGTAAGGCAGGGCTTCGAGCGCTTGAATGCGTGTAAGCTAGTCTTGTGCTACTTCGATTTTGTTGTTATGCCACTCGGCGTTAGTAGATCAATAATGCTTTGTAGGCCAGCCAATATAGGCCAATATCGAAGCCTACTGTAGAATCCTGGTGAAGCATCTATAGAGACGAATCTCCCTGGATCCATGTGAAAAAACACATTTCCTATCTATGCGCCCCTTCACCACTTTCTTCAGCACACAGGTCAATCCCGTGAAAGTTTGCCCCTGCAGCTTTAGCCCATTACACGCCGTCACTATTTGTCCCACACTTACCGGGAGAAATGTTTGCTTGCAAGCGAATCTCTCAATCACCCACGTCCATTCGCCCCCCTTGCCTTCACGCTTCCTGGAAGAGGTTTTCGTCTGCAAAATTGACCCCCCCAATGAGCACGTTTCCTTTGCAGGCCCAACGCCCTAGACCCCGCGCTGCGCCGCCCCGGCCGCTTCGACCGTGAGGTCGCCGTCACAGTCCCCAACACTTCAGAGCGCCTCGCCATCCTGAAACTCCACTCCCGAAGCCTGCCTCTGGCTGATGACGTCAGCTTGGCGGAGATCGCCGCGGCGTGTAACGGCTACACAGGAGCGGACCTCGCAGCACTGGCCCGGGAGGCGGCAATGCTGGCAATGGCGCGGGAGAGCCGAGAAGAGGGGGCGGGGGCGGAGCGACCCGAGGGGAGTCGAGCAGGGGTGGGTAACGATCTGACGGAAAGTGGAGAAAGCCCGAGTACTGGAGTTCAAAGCTCGCGGAATGGTTCAGTGAGGGGCCACAAAGCGGAAGGAAGCGTGGACGATCCGTCAGGACCAGATAGGGGACGAGAAGCTCTTGAAGATCGGAAGAGTTCGGGAAGTCGATGCGAGACGTCGGGGGAGAGCCGAAATTCAGCGGGGAACGGCGGAGGCCCTGTTGAAGGCACGGTTGGACGGTCGAGGGGCGTGTGCATGGGTGACTGGCGGGCGGCGATGCTGAGAGTGGGGCCCTCCGTGGTGCGGGGGTCGGCGGCGGAGGTGCCAGCGGTGTCGTGGGACGACATCGGAGGGCTGCATGACGTCAAGGTATGCAATTTGATATGTCGGAACGCGCTCTCCTTCGCGAGTTTGTTCCTGTGCGGGGATTAGCAAACCCAGAACACATACGATGTTTGGATTGATAGTTGCCTCGAGGGTGACGTCGACAGTCGTTATAACACAACGTTCGCGAATCCTTTCGCCATCATAGAAGATACTTCGTCGCTCTCTGTTGAGATGCACACTAAGTCTCTGAGAAGTTTTGCACATGAAACTTAGCGCCTGAAGTTGCGCGTCAATGCAGCGGCGACTTCAACAAGCGGTGGAGTGGCCCATCCAGCACGCAGACTCGTTTCGACGCCTCGGCCTGTCCCCGCCCCGGGGAGTGCTCTTACACGGGCCACCGGGGTAAGGCCAGCACTTTTGCAGATTCATAAGGGGAGAGTTTATCAGCAGAATGTGATCTCCTGAACTCGAAACACATCGAGCGCTTTTCTTGGCACGGATTAAGGGATTCAAGGGATAGTGATAAGCAATTTGGAATTGAGAAACGTCGAAAGTCGTTTGAAGAACCAGACGCGCTTGCTATTTCACTCTACTTTCGAACATGAACTTTCCAATTGCTTCAACAACGTCTGTTCCTGTCGTTCAGGTGCTGCAAAACAACTCTGGCAAGGGCTGCCGCACATGCGGCAAAGTGCACGCTCTTCTCCTTAAGGCAAGTCGCACTTCTATGATATAGACCGGTATTTGGTGGCTTAGACGGGCGGATGCAATCACGAAGTGTTCGACCGAGTAGAGTGGTGCATTCCAGATTGTAAGCACTTACGAATGTACATCGAGAAATAGGGCTTCTATCACGACCGCCTTACAAATGATAGCTCGCAGACGGTTCGGCTATACTTTAGCGCAAATTGCAAATTGGTTGCGCGGAACTGCTAGAATCCAGAACACTTCGAGTACCTCGAACGCCTTCCAGTGGTTTGCATAAGAGGAGCGCTATGCACCGTCGGAGCTCAGATAAGTTCTAGCACTGTTGAAGCGCACAGCGCCGTTAACGAGCGCTCCTCGCTCGCTTTCAGTGGCGCCGAGCTCTTTTCCATGTACGTCGGCGAAGGAGAGGCGTTACTGCGAGAAACGTTCCGGCGCGCGCGGCTGGCGGCCCCGGCCATTGTCTTCTTCGACGAGGCCGACGCGGTCGCGACTCGCAGGTATGAAGTTTCTACCGACCGCCTTTTTTAGCTTGTATTACCATGAGCAAACGATGCTCTGCTCAATCCTGAGACGGGACTGAGACAGCGGACAATTCTGGTCCTTTGTAAAGGCAAGAGTTGAAGAGGAAAAGGCGGGTAGGGGACCGAGACTTTGGTCCAGGTCTAAGTCTGACGCTTCTGGCTTCTGAATAAGCGACTCACTTAAGGGAGCAGCAAATCTTTGCCGTGACTGCCACCTGGTTCCTCATTCTCATTTTTTGGCTGCAGGACAAAGTCGGTGTCCTTGCAGGCAAGAGACCGGGCTCTTTTCCTAATCCAGCATCTCACAAATATTGCCGGCTTTACACTGTGATACGATCCGCGAATCTGACTTTTTCCAAGAACGTCGAGCTTTCAATCGCGCTAGTGAGTGACGTTCGTCTTCTTGCGCAGGGCGGCGGGAGGCGGAGGCGGCGTGTCAGTCCAGGAGCGGTTGTTAAGCTCCCTGCTCACTGAAATGGACGGCCTAGAATTGGCGCAGGGAATCCTGGTTATGGCAGCGACCAACCGGCCGCACGCCCTGGATGCGGCGTTGGTGCGGCCGGGCCGGTTCGACCTGGTGAGAAAAGGTTCTCATGATCAATCATTTCCGACCGTCCGAAAGAGCACATTCCACGGTTGAACGCAAGTGAAGCACCGTTCCCGAGCCCAGTGGTAACTGATATCCCCCAGGCTCTCGAGACACTCAGCGAAGTTCGTGAAGAATGTCTAGAAATAAGAAAAGATGCTTATTCCCATCAACAGCTGAGGCGTTTCAATTATCGAAACCATTGCAGACGCGCTCTGAGAACCGGGTTTGCTCAGCAGCGTTCTTTCGTAGCGTGACCGTTCGTTGCAGAGGAGACCGTCCAGTGGTGTAGAAGGTTCTACGTGGAACACTTTCTGTGCTTCGGGTCGAGCATGTCAGGGTAGTTGCGACCGACGCGACAATGCCCCCGCGATCTTCCAAATTCTGCGCCCCCAGATTCTCCCGAGAACAAATTGCCATTCTCAAAAGACGCCTGCCTACATTATCACGGAACAAAGCAGCCTGCCCCTCTCGTTTCTTCGTACTTGCAGCATCCGACCTTAGAAGCACGACCATCACGTCATGGCGAACCAGACTGAAATCATTTCTGAAAACCTCCGTACTTAACTTTCTGGTTCCTCCTCGGGCTCGTCTTCCCAGTAACCGATACCTTCTGACGGCAGGTTCTGTACGTGCCCCCCCCGGATGAAGAGGGCCGCCTGGAAGCACTGCGCGTGCACACGCGCAAGATGGCCCTGGCTGCTGACGTGGACCTCCCCGCGCTCGCGGCGGACACGGAGCTATTCACCGGGGCGGAGCTGGCGGGACTCTGCAGGTAGGGCGGAGCATCTGCGCTTACCTGCTGTCGCGCTTGCATGCAAATGTGCGTTAATAGATTCTACTCCATCTAGGCGATTGATCGCCGTTTGACAGCATAGGAGATCGGCCAAAAGACGCCAAAAGACGCAAATGGTGTCTGCCTGTGTGACGCTGCTTATTTCCTTTTCCGTTCCGTTCGCCTTGAGATGCTGTCGGTTTCTCTTTTGACTGTCACCTTTCGAATCCGATTTGTGCATCGCCGTCGTCTTTTCCGCGCCAACTCCACCGCTTTCAGAGTCCTCGGCAACTGGCAAGGAATTCGAAGGCGGATCGTTTATGTGTAAGCGAAAGAGACGAAGTCTCTCAAACTTGAACTTCAAACCAGCAAAGGAAAGGGAAGGTGACAAACCGGCGCTTTTGTCCAAAGAAGACTCAGCTTTTCATATGACAGTTGCTAGCTGTTCTTTTAGCAATTTCAAACTCAGTCTCGCCATTGACTGCAGGGAGGCAGCGCTGACGGCGTTGCGAGAGGACCTTTCCGCCACCGCAGTTGCGCACAAACACTTTCTCTCGTCGAGGCAGAACACGCGCCCCGCTCTTACGCCCCTCAGCCTCGCTAGCTACGCTTCCTTCGACGCCAAATTGAACTCTCGCTCGAGGACGTGAATCAATCTTTTGTAAGTCTGTTTGTATGATTGTCTGGCGCGTCTTCGACAATGATCATTGAGGACCAGATGGGTCCCGGGGTCCAGCTTGATCGTTGCCTCCCTGTATTGGCATGACGATTTCGCGGTAAGGCTATTTTATTCGTGATCCTATTGGCTAAACCCTTACCGTTTTCACCACGTGGGCTTGACACAGTTGACTCGTCAAATTGTCCCATAAACCAAATTCAATTTATACTTTTACCTATCCTTAACTCAAAACCCCAACCATAAATTCAAAACATTCCCCGGGCGATTCGATCTTATCGCACCCGGCGGGCCGGCCTAAGCTCCAAGACTCAAGCAACACTGTACCGACCGTAACCCGGTGAGCGTATCCACGTGTCCAAACCTCGGCAAGTCTATCAGCAGTGCCCAAACTGGCCCCAAACCAAATAACCGGAACCCCGACCACGGACCACGAACAACTTCTAGGACCTAAACCCCGTCTTAACCCCGAAAAGGCCTCCCGGTTAGGGAGGCCATTTTCAGTGTAGATAACGTTACCAGCGGCTGAGGCACGGCTCCCTCAATGATGTGCACCTTAGTGCGGGGCCCCTTGTGATTTAAGCGCGGCCCAGGTGGCCAAAACCAAAAAATCATAGTCACCCGGGCCCGCCGCACATGACGTGATATATAGGGCCCAGCCAACGCGCAATGGCTAGAAGGGCGGGCCACGCCGCTCTCTTCATGGCTTTGGTACTGACCGAGTGCACGTGCACCGTTCGTGTACTAAGACCGAGCCTGCCTTGCAATCAACGTACAAGAACACTCTGTGGATAACCGTCATATATAGAGGTTCGCTAGCTCATGGTGTGGCCGAATCGACAAGCTTGGAATATAAGATCGTCGACGTGTTACGATCTAGCCTGCTTCAATGCAGAATATTGTTGGGCTGATAGCCACATCTATTTCAGCTAGCCTGCACTTAGCTGCATGCATATGTGGACCATTGTACACCGGCCAGCACGCATCATGCATGCATGAGCATGCTCTAGTACTTGAAATCCAATACGTTGGACGTGCTGGCAGTTTACACTGCTGTCCGCCATTGCCATACGCGCTGTCGCAATCAGACCAGGATGAGCTTTGATCAACGTCTAGGCAGAGGCTTTCGACGAGCTTATACCCTAGCTCCACAATCATGCTCTTATTAAAGTGGTCGTGTCAGGTATCAGCCGAATTAGTTGTTGATTACCGTTTGCCAGCGCCAGGTTCTGGCTGGGTTCTGGCATATGACGGCGAGATTCGGAAGGATGCGATACTCGACGGGCGCGGCGCTTGCCGATAACCATGGCGCGCGGCCGGCCGCGGCCCTTCAAACGACTCTGGCCGCGCGGTTTATGGTAAACCTAGGACTTTGCGCGGGTTTATAAACTCAGTTGTATTCCGCTCTCGATCGATCCGCGCGGCGCGCGGAAGCCTCATGCAACTTCAAGTTCAAGTTCAATTTCCTGTCTGGCATGAACCTCCGTCCGCTGGCCTGGTTAAGTAATTTTTGGCGTACCGGGCGCAGTCCGGGCATCCAACGGTGAAATCGTTCTATTTTCTAAGATCGGACGGTACGCCGATTGCCTTTGCTGAACAGAAGGCTGAGTCCATCCCCGCCTAAAGGTCGCAGAAAGGAGGGACAGCGCCCGAAAGTGGTGAAGTCCAAAATTGTTATTTTGCCCAGCACCTCAGACTGGCCGCCATGGCTGCCGACATGGCTGAAATGAGCTGGGAGCAGCACCCATGACCAAAATTTCTCAAACCCAACGGCAACCTGAAGCTATGTGCAACCTATAAATTGAATACCAGCTGCTTTCAAAGGTAAATTTGATGCACATTCTCCCCCCAAATCCAAAATGTGCCTTTCAACCCTAAAAGGAGCCTCGGAGGCGCAATGGAGGTTTTGTTGAAAGTCGCCGGGGCAACTATACATCAAATTTTGCAATCTCAACGGCAAGACTGCTCTACAAAAAGCAATCCTAGCTTGCTGAAATGCAAAGTTTGTGGAGAAAGACCTTCTACTCTCCCCCCACAGCCCGTCCCTGCCTCCTCAAGCCCTGAGCACAAGGCAGCCATTGCGGCAGTCTTCTGCTTCAAATTACTGGCTGTAGGTGTTCCGGTTTAGGCCTTGACTTCCGGGACTTTGGTTTTACTGAGCACTTTGTCAGTCTTGGGCAACCGCTGAAAGTGCCCGGGGATTCAGCGGAAGTGACCGTCGATGTCACTTCCTCTGGTTCTGAACCGTCCGATGCACATATTTATCTGAACATTCTAGGGGACAAGAAGTTTATGCCAGACAGGAATTTGTTAAAATTGTGATCTGCTGTGGCAGTGCAGCAGTACCAAGCCTCCAACGAGCTCTCTGATTTGCAAAGGTAGAAGGTGCTTTGCAACAAGAAAGTGTTGCGCGAAAAACGTGCAGTCACTGGCTGAGGAAGATAAGCTTTCTTTCATTAGATGCTCAATTGACAGAGGGAACTTTCTGGTCCACTCAATCTTTCCAGTAAGATCGTGCAGGGAACGGCGAAATTTGTAGTGTGGGAAAATGCAGGGCGCTTACAGCCCCGCTCCGCCTGGCCAGCTTGTGTTCAAGCAAGGGCACTCTCCAAGCATGTCCTCTGGTCCGACAGTTGAGCAACAGCAAGCACGATTGAGGAGTCTCAGAGCAGTGGCACTCGTTCTCCAGAAGGTATCATGAGAAACTTCTTTTCCATTGAAGAAAAAACTTTGTGTTTGTGAGCAGCTCTGTGCTGCTGAGCTCGCAGTGCCCTGCCTTTTCGTACTTTAAGGTGGTGCTCCTCAGCATGCTTGTGGTGCAAAATGCAAGGAACGCGCAGCTCGATTTGGAAGAGGGGCATCTGAAAGCACACCTTGTTCTTTGCTTTGACACACTCTGCTAAGCCTGTTCAAGTTACACTTCCGTGCTTAGATTGGCACCCGCTATTCATGGCTTATTAATCATGCAGGACTTGAAGGTACTATGCCAGATTTATTATATTCCTGCTGTTCTTGAAAGGGCAGAATTCGGCAATCAGACCTGGCAATGCAACCCTGCCAACTACGAGGGTGGCACCACACAATAAGAAACTGTTGTTTGCAGCCCAGGTCTGTTTCTCATTGGCGCTCTATTTCATGTTGCAGGAGGGGGCCGCTACCCACAACTGGCGATTGCAGCGAACCCAAGAAGATCAGCAGGTGCGGCTGGAAGAGGAAGAGTCCGCACTCGCAAGGTACCAGGAAAACGCACAGCTGCTCACGAGGCTGTTCACTCCTACAGAGGAGGAGACGGAACAGGGACGATGGGCCGAGCTCAGAGAAAAAAGTTTGCAGTCTGAGTTAGATGTGGATAGGGTGAGGGCTTACGAAGGAGATGCTAAGGAACCAAGCTCAGCAGGCGCGACTGGCAGGGGGATCAGCGAGGGGGCAATCAGTGGGGGGCTCGACGTGACAGGGACACGGGGGGTTTTTGAGGATCTCGAGCAGGTGATCAAGTGCCTGCATCCAGGAGAAACCTCTGAGCAAGAGGGGAGTCGGAAGCAGGCGCTTGAGAAACTGAGAAGTTTGGCTAGGGAGTTTGAGATTGACGGAGGAGGAGGCGAGGGGTCTCTTCCTGTGTCGCCTAGAAAGGGAAAGCGGAAAGCTGAGCCTCAAGAGGAGGCAAAGGCTGGATGTATCGAGAGCTTTGGGCAGCTCCTTGTGGAGGCCGGGAATGTAACTAGCAACCTAGAGATCAGGGAGTCTGAGAGGGCATATTTGCAAGCGCTAAAGAAGGCGTGTCATTTGCCGCGCCTGCCGGAGGGAGAGGATGCGATTTCGCAGGAGTGTTGGCCAGTCTGTAGCAAGCAGTCGTGTAGGACACGTCTTGATGGAGAAGAAGAAGACGACATGCAAAGACATGTTGAGGTATTGACCAGCTGTCAATTGTGATTCTAATGAGATGGCCGCTTTTGGTGCGACCTATAACGCGCCTTGTTGCCGCCTCTGCCCCGAGTCATTCATGACCAGGCTTCCAAAAATAATAGCCAGTGATTGGGTGCTTAGGGACTTACTGACGGACGACAACCAACTCAGGAAATGAGCGAAATGAGCCAGATTATAAGTTACTTACCAATAATCCAAGCCATGAGCAGAAAGTACCATGCCATACCAATGATGCCATATACTAACCATATACCATACCACGAACTTTTGCATTAAAGTCCCCAGCCCCATGGGCCGCATCACCATGACTGCGGGCTGCGTATATATGTTGATGTAGCACATGCCATGATGCTTATATCATCTGGAGCATGGCCGGTGCATATACACAAGTTGGCCATGGGCAATGCGACTTATTCGCGCCATGTAGAATGTTGCATGGTTTCAGTCCGACATAACTCTCAGTGAGTCTGGAAGTCTATGTACGTGTCCCAATGCAGCTAGCGCATGATCTCACATGTGCAACTTTAAATCAGACGTATAGCCTGGTATACATGTTACGTTCTTGTCCAGACTCTCGTGCCGCGGCAAATCTCCCAGTATGTTGACGGACCACTGCAGCACAGGTTACCTTGATTCCTAGAGCCAACCTCAGCCTGGCCTAGGTGATCCGCGCATAGCTTCGCATACCCGTTTTCCACCACAGCCGATACATGACGTGATCGAATCAGCTCGACCACCGGTGTCGATCAGATACTCGCTAGCCTGAGTGATGGAAAAGTAACACGTCTAGTCCAAGTCCTTTTGGACTGATTGTCTCACCTGGGTCCAAAATACTTGCCTCGCAAATCCTTCTCAACTCGATGTTTACTTACACTATAACAAGCTAATAACCAGGTACAGATGGAAGCTCGCTGTGCCGGGCTTACGAGTATGCAACGCGAGTTATGAATCAGTGCTACACCGAGCTTAGGTCTTATGCCGCAACTGAAAAAAGTCTTGCATCTTGTCTGCCATGACCGGGGGCCACCTCCGTATTCTCCTCAGCCAGTCCTGATCCCGATACTTGGCGCACCCGTCATAAAGCTGCCCCGCATTGATGTTCTCGCACGCAAACTGCCACGTGCTCTCAGCCTCTCGCTCTCGTCCCTGAATAATCAGCGGAAGTTTTCAGCATGTCAGGAGGTCGCTTCCAAAAACCGTTTGGGTTCACTTGTCGCATCCAAAGAATTGAACAGTCTGCTCTCGAAGCAACCGCAACATTCTCAGGGAAGAAAAGCCAACATATCCGTCCAGTGATTGAAAATGGTAAAGCACACGGGCTTGCCAAAGGAGGTGAAAAAGAAAGAAGGTCTGCTCACTGTACACGACTGCGCTCAATGCCAAGTCATATACCAAATCGTATGCGAGTGTCTTCCTCGTTTTGCCCCGTTACCTGAGACCAGTAGAGGGCGGCCAGGGCCGCTCGCATGTCGATGCTCCCGGGCGCTCGCCGGGCCACAGTCGTCAGCTCTTTGAGGCCCTCCTTCTCGTTGCCAAGCTGGACACGTGAATACAAGCAAGCAGCCAAGATAAGGGGAATTGCGAGATAAGAGGTCGAGTAGATAGAAGCAGCATCTCCGAGAAACGGCGGTATTTCGAGTAACAAAAGCTTGCAGCAATTGACTTCGTGGGTCTGACTTGGAAACACGAAGAAAACCAAGTCTCAAGCAGCATACCACAGCTTCTGTGGAGGCGGCAGATTGAGTGGGCCTCCTTTCGATCATGGCCGCCTTCGGACAATCTGCATTCTCGTAGCTTTGATTCCACACCGCCAACCCGCTCACCTGGATCTGCATGAGCGCAGCGTTGGCAGCTGAGTAGATAGCCCCGTCTAGTTGCCGGCCCTCTTGAAAACCCTGCAAAACGGGAAGAGAGTTCAGACGTCGTACGGAGGAGATGCGACGTGCACGTTTCGAAACAGTCGCTTGACAGCGCTGAGGCTTCACCTCTCAAAGCGTTGTAATAGTAAAGCAAGGAATGGACGCAGATTCATGAGGAATGCAATTCCTTTGATCAGGGGGTGAGACACAATTGTCCTATATCCGCTTCGTGCTGGCATGTGTGCTCCCCTGTGAGCCAAATTGAATCGACACCCATGATAATAGGCTAAGTTCGGAAAAAGTAGTTTCTTGGAGGCAACAATGGAGTCGAGCAGACAGTTAGGCAGACCGGCAATGATACCAAAGTCGACCCGGATTGTCTGACACCGAGGAGAAATGGGGACGCTTTCCAGGCATACAAAAAAGAGTACAAGAAGCAACAACAGAGAAAAGATCAGAAACGGGAACGGTTCACTTCAGACTAGCATGAGAACGAGGATCGCCATTCCCACCTTGACGCTCAACTCGTAGTCCCGCAGCGCCTCGCTCCACTGCCCCAGCGACGCAAACGCGTTCCCTCGGCTGTTCAACACATAGGGCTCGTCAAAACCGGTGGCCTTCTTCCCCAGGCGCAGTGCGGTTGTGTAATCATCCACCGCTTTGTCCCAGTAAGACAGGCCCTCGTAGGCAAGGGCCCTGCTGGAGTAGCCCCGGAAGTTGGACGGGTTCCTGATAGAAAGCAACAATGATGTCAGCATGATGTCATTTGTCTGAGGCGACATGAGATCAAGAGGACTCTCACGGGTAGAGCCAAAACCGACTTAGCACTCTGAACCAGAGACCAATCTGCTGAGACGTCGCTTGCGTGGATGGGATCGGAAGTTGATCAAGAGTGGAGGGGCCAGAGCATCTATCCAACTCGCTATGGGGGAATCTCTGCAGGATCGCTGGGGCATGTATTCGAAAAGCCGCACGTTGACAGAGGTTCGCAGCAGATTGAATGATTGCATATCTATCCAGCAAGTCAAAAAGGACTTGCAAGTGTCAATACTGCCAGTCAATCAACCCTATAATGCGATAGATGATTTACAGGTGAAGTACAAAGTCCCTTCAGAATGCAAGGCTTCCGCCACTCACTTCTCAAGCACATAGTTGAAATCGTCCAGGGCTTCATTGAACTTCTTGGAGTCCACTCGAAGCTGCACAGAAGGACTAAAAGGACTGAGTCAGAAGCTACTTCAAAAGACCACCCCATAGATAATGGATTTTGGACAATATACCACAGAACAACATCCTGTAGGCTCAGTTGCAGGACGGCTCCGCTAAACAGAATGTTAGGCCCTTCTTGTAACAAGGACGCGCCTCTCAAACTCATGCACTCTTTCGCAGAAACTTCATGCACAGCTGATCTCTTGGACAACAATCGTTCAATACCACAAGTGCCCCGGAGACCGGCACGGTAGCCTGTGAAAAGCACGTCTCTTGCCTGACGGAACAAGTGAGTCTTCGCACTGTCAAAAAGTTTGAGGGGTTTTCCTGGCAAAACTTGTCACATTGAAGGCTGGCGGCCTGAATGACAAACTTCCGCCCCAGACCCGGCCAACTCATTATCTATACTTCGGACGGAAGTGGCAAAAAAACATTCACGTTCAGATCGATGACTGTGGCATGGGAAGACATAGCCTCGACCAGGTTTTGCTGTGGGATGCTATCCACCTACCTGCCCTCTCGCCTCCCTCCACTCTGTCCGCTCCGGCTCCAGCGCCACCAATTTATCAAACAGCGTGCACGCCTCTGCCAGTGCGGCCCACCTGTTCTGGCTCGTGGGGTCCAAACCCCGGCCCCAGGCTTCAGACGCCTGATCTAAGAGCTCCAATGCTTGGGGAGAAGGAACACTAGAAACCACAATGCTGCCTGCCTGTGACTGTGAGGGATGCTTCAAGAACGTGGCGGTGGAAAAGAAGAGCGCGCCTGCTGCCAAGAGTGAGCGCCGCGTGCTTGGGAGTTGGGGATTTATGGGGCTCGCAGAAGGTACAGAAGTCACGCGTTTTGCAGGATTCGAGCAAGTGCATGGATCTTCTTGACAAGTGGAGTCTGAAGGTTGACATTGTCTGCTTTCAGAGGTGCTTGGGAGGGAAAATCTATCGCAGTGACTCTCAATAAATCGGCTTCTGCTCCTTTCCGTCAACGTTACATGATCAGAGGTGGTCGAAGCTCTCCACTTGTCTACAGCTTGCAGACTTCTAACAGAGTTCCTTTGCGAGCTACTGCGTAAGACGCTTCCTAAAAGAGCATCAGCCAGGCCTTCCTGTGATTTCGGATCACTTTTGCCTCTTGCTCGCAGAATATGCTGATGAGCGCCGCAGCATTGTCTTCCAGAGCTGCTTCGGGCGCACGAATGGCTTCCAGAGGAACCTGCCACTAAGCCTGAGCTGCGAAGCAAGCGGCTGCCAACACAGGACTCCATGCCGTGCGCCAGTCCCTGCATTCACAACGCTGTGCTTAACGAAGGGTAGACCCTACGGGCTCACAACCTTCAAATTGACCCGGGCGCGATCGCCGCGGTCGCGCGCAAAACCACTCTATGAATTTTTCGGCGCACCGTAGACTGCCAACTCTCGTCGACACTCGTCAAATTTCTCCATCGATTTTCACGCCGCGCCGACTCCCGGTATAGTGGGTACTGACTCTCGCCGAGTCTCGTAGTGGGCTCGTAGTCTCGGACTCCAGCGCGGCCGCCCTTCAGGCTTCAGGCGCTCTTTTTCCGAATCCTAGCTTCCGCCCCACATTGATCAGCTCTTAAAGTCTAAGTCTCGAGTCTAAAGACTCTAACGATCGCGCCACTGCTCTCCTGACTTTGCAGAATTGCTTAGAGGACGTGCACGGGTCAAAGCCGTCCGATGTCTCTGACTTGTGTCAAGAGCCGTCCGATAAACTCTTCGTGGGCCGGGAGGCGAATAAGGAAACCGGCGTATATCACGCCGTGAAGTGCAAGCATAGTTACAGCAGCTGCAGCATCAATCTTGAGTCCACAATATGAATTAATATTGGCCCAGATACCACTAAGGATGTGTTGATAAAAACTGTTTATAATTTCAAAGACGTTCTGCTCTTGAAACCACGAAAAGCATCTTGGATTTCAGTGACATTGGTCCATTCCGCCCTAGCTAGTCTCAAATTGGCCGCATGCGTCTGATCGAACAGCATTGGAACAAGCTGTCGGAATCTCGGAAGGGCATTGCTGACATGAGTCTGCTTTGACTGTCGGCCCAGCAACTTGCCCGGACAACAACGTTAAGCAACATCTGGTTGTGCAGCCCCATTGGAAGCCTGGTACGGTATCTTAAACTCGCCTTGAGCATTTCGGCACGATCGAGCGCACGGCATTGCTTGTCCGCTCAGCACTTTATTTGCCACCATGGCATTGGAGGCGCACCCCTTTACGAGCTTTAATAAGCCCGGGGCTAACGGGACGCAGACCCTCATTGGGAACTGGGTGGAGGAACGAGTGCTAGAGCAGAGCACCAGTTACTCCCGCTACAAGGTGGGATATCACCTCAACAAGTTTGTTATTGCTTTGAGGTACAATGCTGCAAGCCAGTCTTAGCGGAAGTGGCTGTTCGTCTCGTATCTGATGGTGCATGCCGCACGGCCGGATTATTCTGCTCCAATATCCCGCGGCCGCATCCTTCTTGGTGCTCGTCACTGCACTTTGTTGCATGTGAATGTTTGAGCTTCAACTGTCACCTCCTAGACCTAGCCCCAGAGGATTCCTTCTTTTCAAAGAACTGGAAAGTGCTCAAAGGTGCCTCAATACGTGCCCACTTAAACAGCAACACTATTTTACTGCCTAATGGTTGCATTTGACATGAACCAAAAACCATAGTCAGGACAAATCCGGGTAGTTTCCCGACCTCTCTCTCAAATCTCGTACTGCCAGGAATCCACACAACCTGACATTGCACTTGAGCCCGACAACCAATCTCGCAAACCGCTAACAAATCTAAACACCCAAGCAAAACCATCACATGAGCTCCCAGAACGTTTGCAGAGTAGCTCCCAACCTAGTTGCGTACGGTGGTGCTGACTTGACACTTTGCGTCTCTTCAGGACTGGGCCAGCACCGCAGAGAATGGCGGCAGTGTCTACCCAAGGAAGGTCCCAAGCACAGCGACTGCCATTGAGACGGCTCCTAGAGTCATGCCCACCTCAGAAGATTCTCAGGTGAGCTTTCTAAGATCACTTTACAAGCTTGTCGTGTGCAAGAATGCATCTTTCCTGGTAAGGTAGATGTAAGAAGAGCTACATGTGCAACATAGTTATGCATCTCCGAGAGTTGGAGTGCTACCTGTGGAAATTTGAGGACTTGATTGAGCAGTAGATAGTGGTGACTGGAGTGTCCTACAAACGCGCAGCTGTATGAGTCAAATTTAACAATTCGAAATGTCACAGACTTTGGTCCTCTCTTAAGCGTGAAGAGTATTGATAGACGGCATTCGAATCGCCAATTCAACGGCTTTGAGAGCGATTGGAATGTTACGACGGTTCGCATCGACGAAGGGAGTTTGGCGTAGTAAGAGCTGCCTTTCGTGGCAGTCGGAGCAATGTTTGCTGCAGCTGTCATGGAGAAGAGGTCAAACAAATTTTGGGGCACAAAACACACAGGCAGAGTTGAGTCTATAAAGGGCTCGCTGGAGTCCAATCTAACAAGGTAGTAGTGCTCGCAGGCAGCGGCAACTCACTTCATGACGGTAAAGCAGGAGACGTACGCGGACCCCAAACGAACTGAAACGGACGTCCGAACCGCCCACTATGTGGACATGTCTAAGCTGGGCAAGAAGGGCGCCAAGATGGTGGCGGAGCTCTGGCGGGAAGCGAGGTGAGCCCACGTCTAGTTGCTGTCGAGCAGGCTGTCTTAGGGCGGCATGACGTCGCTCGGTGTGATATTGCTTGTTGATGTCCCGCAGGGATTTGAGTCTGCCTCTAACAAGGTCGGAAGCAACCTGTGCTTCCCCGTTCATTTCAGGTTCTTCTCGAATCTTGAACAGATCCCGAGTTTCGAAGCGCTGTTGAGGCCACTTTTCTTTCGATACATCTATCAAAGAAAACGTTGTAGGCACGTCGATAGTTTCTAAAGACGAGATTTTGAAGCACCCCTCGACGTCGTCTGTTCAGCAGAAGACCTTTCTGACGATTTTTGCGCTTCCTCTCTCTCAGTGCCCTCCCAGAACCCGAGCCGCCTTCGTCTTCTTTCGAGACTACCAACCGGACTGTGCATGGGCCCCTCGACACGTCTCTCGTCAGAAATGCGATGAAGGGAAGCAGAGTCATGAAAACCCAGGACGGGAAACTGATTCCGGCAGGTGGGTTGTACAAATCTGCGAGCGAAGTTCTAATCCCTCTTTTCAGTTCACCAGGGTTCGACCATGCACTGAGTTAGGAAGGCTTCGGTTAACCCACAACGAGTAGCAGAACACGAAAAGCCAAGTGAGGGCTGCCTCGCGTAACCTTCTCGTGTGATCAAATCTAGGGGGAAGAAGACGAGCGGACATAGTCGATTGTCCTTTATGGTCTTTCCGGATCAGCTACTGGGCGCCTTGCAACGAATACTCAAAACTCAGTAGATTGTCTGCTTCTTCCGACGGTGTAACGCTCCCATGGGTTTCCGTACGGAGATCTGTTGTTGATGCTATACCCACCTTTCTTGCTCGATGCAGAATGCCGAGACGGGACCTTTCAAAGCGAGCTGGGACTTCTGCCGCTATCGAGCCTGAATCGCAATGCGAGCTTTGGTCAGGAGCCGGATCTGGTAAGCGAGTCGTCATAAGTACTGCTGACTTCACATTTGCGTTCTCCATTTGGTACCAGACAGGTACAAGTCAAGCTTCGAGGATGATTGAGCCGCTAAATATAAGTTGCAAAAGCGGAATCGTAGGAGAACCTTTCCGAAGCCAATCTTGTGAGGCTGAAGACGAGGAAGCTCTGTCTTCAACGCAGTCCTCGGTACCAATTGCACGACGATGATAGATGCAACGCTGAGAGTCGAACAGCACGACTCTGAGGAAGCAATAAGTTGGCCAAATGTTCTGCTACGACTTGTCGAGCCTCTTCTCTGAATGCCGCTGATTTTTGCGCTAAGCTTGGCTGCACTTTTGTGAAGCGAGCGTGTGTGCTGTGAAGTCCCGCGAACTGATTGCGTCCAAGGTCCCACCTTTTGGGCGAGGCATCCCTCCGCAATCCCTCAAAGTCCACCACTACTGAGGGCCTTTTAGACGCCAGTGGCTGTGCGACCGGGGAGACCTACCGGGCAGCCTCAGAGCTTTGGACGACTACGGTATAACGGCTTGAAACATAGGGAAGTTGTGGTCCCGCAAACGCTCAGGACTTACATGTGCATCTGCACCTTTGCAGGATGCTCCGATCACCATCTACTCCACGTCTAAGGAGGGCGACTTCGCCCAGACACGTGGCGCCGGGGCCGTGCGTTTTGGAAAGTCGTGCAGATTCAGCAAACCGATAGACGACCCGACTAAAGTGGTCACGGATCAATGACGTTCGTCTGTTGCAGCCAAGAGATTGCTGGTCACGGTGCCCACATGTTCATTAGACCGTCTTTGGGAATATAGTGGGACTCAAAAACAGTGCTTCCAGGCTGAGGCGTGTTATTTTAAAACATTTGACTGCAAGACGGTATTGGAGATATGCGTGTACATTGCCTTCACTGCGGCGCGCCCAGCGTGAGTGCTTACATCTCGTTTGCGCTTCTGGAATCCGAGACGACTACGCACGGACACATCTGATCAGAGCAAAAGCCCATGAAAACTTTTAACCACTTCAATTGTTTTCGGCCGGCCCGGCCTAGCTGAACATGTGAAAGGTGTCTCACTAAGCAGTTAGGTATCTCGACTCCATGCCACGCGCGCAGGGGCGCCGCGCGCATGTGAGTGGCCTTCGAGTTCAGCAAAGTGGCCAACAGCGGCGAGCCGCCCCGCGTGTGTGCAATTAGCTGAAACTCCTCAGCTGCTCAACCTATTTTGGCGGCCGGGGTACCTATATATCATGCTCAGTACGTGCCATATATACCTAGCCTGCGAATCACATATGCATATCATTAATTGTGCATGTACATTTACGGAAGCCGCCGATCCACGCCACGACCCCGGTAGGTGAATATGAGTCAAATCGTTTCATGGAGTTGACAGCCCGTGGCATAGGTATAGTATAATTAATTTACCATGTACTGACATTCAACGCTCTAAAGTACTGGAAATACTGGCTGCATGAGCTGCATGTCGGACATCACTGGGCCCGAATATTCATAGCGCATATCTTCCAATGATCGCAGGCGCCCCGTGCGGCCACATGGCGGCAAGGCCTGACTGCATAAACCCTGTCACTGTCTTCTAGATGGATGCACCATGCAACGTTGGCGTGTGCTGATGCACGGTGACGAATTTTACATGGTGACTCATGCACCAACGTACGAGCAAACAGGGCGGCAAGGTTCTGTCCCTCTTGCGGTCTTGACGTGCTCGCATATGTTTCTCAAGTTGGTCAGGGCGGTGTAGTAGCGAATCCGTAGCTCAACTCTATTATCCTACATTCTGCGTGATCGAAGTGCAGTGTCGTCAGGCGGCGCGGGTATCCGTTCCCTGATTACCCCTCAATGCACAGCTATGCTAAAGGTTTAAGAAACTCGGCACTGTCGCCTGTTAAAACTACCTATATACATCAAAGACAGGTATTACTCGTACAACATTTACAGCATAGATTTCCGCAGGATTTTTAGTTCCCTCTCGTTTACTCAAACTCTATGATCACTTGATCAGCGGCGAGGACGGACCCTACTTTCGCGGACACGGCCTTCACGACGCCTTCTTGCTCCGCCCGCAACACGTTGCGCATCTTCATCGCTTCAACCACTGCCAGCTCAGCGCCGGGCGATACCTGTACGTGCAAAAACTTGATGTCAAGAATCCTTCGAATTGAAACTCTCTATATTCGATCAAGCAATATTTCGAAGAGCATGGAAGGAGCTGTCTGCAGCACGCTGACGTGGCGTTATCGCCAACCAATGCGCGACAGCTCGTAAGTTGCAAGGTTGGGCGTTTGCAGTCAGTACTCACGTTTTGTCCCTCTTTAACGGCAACGGAGATGAGCGCACCGGGCATCGGGCTCCGCAAGAACTGCACGAGAGGGACATGACACGTGATGTTTAGGCCATAATTCTCGATCAATAGACTCTCAGAAGCCGCTGCTTGGCACGTGGGCGAGAACGACAGGAAAGTACAACCGATCCGAGTAGTGCTGATCTGCGACAATTCCAGGTCGACCCACGACTTCAAGAATCACGGAACATTTTCAGTAAGCCCCAGATATTCAAGTCATTAGACGCAGCTTTGCTCTGCTTAATAAAATTCAGGAAGGCGTTATGATTAGACGGTAGTGGAAGCGCCAACCGTATCCCTACCTTGCTGTAGTCCACGACTCGAGGGGGCGGCATATGCTTCGCCATGGCTGCTTGATCCGGCCTCTCAATCAACACGTCATGCTGTAGAAAAGGGCACAAGCTCAGTCGGATCGCCGTCATGCAGATCCAAAAAGAAAAGTTAAACATGATCTCGAGGCAACAAGGAAAGGAGGACTTGAGGGGACTGGATCATACAGAAGGTTCCAAGCGGTGTGTAACGAACGGCAAGAGAGTCACTCTCGTGACTTTAGTGCCAACTTCGATGTTTTGTAGTTTGTAATGTGCGTTCTACTTATCTTTCGCAAAAGCGTCGAAGCCCAGATTCAATTATGGACAATCCGCGAGCACGGTTTCATGAAGGTACTCAGCAGAGTACCAATGGAAGAGTTTTAAAAGCGCGTGCAGAACATTCTGCAGTAGTCGCCTCGAGTCTTCTGGATAACGGCAGATGCAGGAGAATCCTGTTTTGGGCTCGCGAGGTCCGCAAGTTCTCAACCGGAGCGCGTGCCCAATGAAGTCGCGTGCGCCGTATGACCAGCAGCACACCATCTTAGCCTAACTTACTGCCCTCACAAAAAAGCAGTGAGTAAGAGAGCGCTGTTCGTTGTGCTCGCAATACCCACGACTCAGAACAGTTGAAGGAGCTGTTACTTGCCTGCGAGCCGGCGAAGAGGATGGAGAAGCCTCGGGGCAGTTTCTTGATAATCTGGAACGACATGGGCTGCTTCTTTCCGTCGAAGTCGACGTCCACTAGGTGCGGTTGCCCCGGATTTGGTGTCAGCAACTGTACGGCAATCTTGGAGCCGTCCAACTTCACGTCCTGCATAATGGTTTGGAAAGAAGGTTATCGATTTTGTTGGGTTCATACGAATCTGAAAGACCAAGGTTTCTTGATGATCTGGAACGACATAAGCTGCTTCTGGCCGTCGAAGTCAACGTCCACTAAGTGCGGTTACCCCTGGATTGGTGTCAGCAGGTGAATGGGAATCTTGGCGCCATCCAACTTCACGCCCTGCATGGTATGTTGAAAAGAAGGCTCGTGTTTGTCTATGGCTCATTGTTGAGTACAAGAGTCAAATGTTCCTTTCTTAGGTACCAGTTCCGGCCAGAAGCATGACAGACGAACTCCTGGCAATACAGCTTTTCCATGACCTGGAGGATCGGAGGGTGTGCGAGCAGGGGAACACGATTGCGCAGTCCAGTGCTGGCACGTGCTTTCAGGTCCTTTAATGACTACACCCCTTGAACCTGAATTTAAGATTGCCTGCCAATCCAAACACGGGTACAGTTGACTCAAACGTTGCGAGCTTTCGACAAGTAAGGATTCCCCGCAACTGCCCAGCCGCTCTGGGAAACAAGATGTAAAAGACGATGCACAATACCCACCTTCCAGCATTATCCGCAATATGCACAGATTTGATCCTGACACTTTGTTGTGATAGCGCACTTTCAAGATCTAGAAAGACTCCTGTCTCTATAACCGGGTAGTATCTTACGTATTCGCCCGTCACGTCTGACACCGGCGAGACCACCACCTCGTGCTGCTGCCCGGCGTCGACGGTGAGTGTCAATTTGATGGGATCCCCGCTGGGGAAAATGGAGAACGACTGCTGATGCAGCTTCGCCACGTGGAGGGCTGCCGCGCTCGCGAGCATCCGGGCCTGAAAAGAAGCATAAAAGACAACGTTAATTTGCATCTTGACCAGTATCTCGACATCTTGCCTTGTCCAAAGATGTTTGAGGCTGGCCAGTATATGCCCGTGACTAAAACAAGCAGGAGAAAAGAGGGATAAAGAATAGTTGCAAAGGGACGACGATAGGGGAGGAAGCGCCTTAGAAAACGACAGCAGGGCGAGTCTTATCTTCCGTGGATTTGCGGGGATTTTGCCAGTGGGAAGCTCTCAGGATCCTTCAGCATGACGAAGCCAACGGATATCAGCCCCCACGACTCGCTGAAGTTCTGCGGGTCAATTTCCACAGGTCTTAAGCGAAGTTTGCAAAATGGAATTTTTGTGTGAGGTTAAAGTTAGAGGGATTGCCAGCCATATTATCCCCCGTGGAAATCAGGTGAGTCCTAGACTGAGCTCACCTCTTGAGCGTCTGTCAAGTAGTCGCCCTGCCAACCCTGGGGGTAGTGCTCCTGAATGAACTTGGTCGTGATGTTGCCGGACCGGAAGTCCTGCACACATAAACCAACCATCCTTAAAGCTTTGCCTGCAAGCGCGTTTAGAACCACAATTGCTTCTGATGGTCTTCCTACCATCTTCCAAGCCTCAAAGAGCATGAGCGGCAACGCCACTTCTCGAATGAATTAGAAGGGAAACCTTTGTGCATGACGGTTCCATTCCTCCCCAGAATGCCAAGCAACGCAGGTAAGTAGACATAGCATTGCAGCGACCTTACCGGGTCGGAGATAACGGATCGCAGGAAGGGGATGTTGTGCGTGAGTCCCCGCACGACGTACGAGTCTAGCGCGTGCTCCATGGACTCTAGGGCCGCCTCGCGGGTGGGACCGTGCGTCGACAACTGCGCGCAGCAGCACAAAAATCACCAGGGTAAGGAGCCAGGTAGACCGGGTTTGGTAGACCGGATTTTTATTTTTTGTTAAAATGAGTAAATTCATTACGACAGAGTGTTAAGATTGAACTTCCGGTTCCAGTCAGCGGATCAGGCCGCGCAGTTGCACGTGCGCGAACACGCCCTGGTTTTGCCTAACTAGCCTGGTAAGGAAACATAACGACCCATCCCGACCGGGCCCCGTTTCTTAATCCTTTGAAAGTGAGATCAGCTTCTGAGCCCTCAATTTTTTTTTTCATACTCGGCCCTCCCCGGATCAGGACGACGTCAGCGAACGAGTGACGCAGTATAGAGTCCGAGGCAAATGCTACGAGCCCAGCAGAAGCCAACGGTTCCCGTCAAACTGTCTTTTGTGTGCATTTTGCTCCACAAGCAAAGCCTTTACGGACGGACGCTGTTGATTGGTTTTCGGGCCGCAGCAAATGACCGGTCTCGGCCTATAGTCTCGCACTTTGCAGCCTAGAAAAAGACTGCACACCTAAATCAACTTGTGTATAACCACTCATAACCACGTTCAAGCCCCCACCTTGCAGATAAGCGGGTCGTAGTAAATGCTGATCTCGCTCCCCTCCTCCACCCCGGTGTCCAGCCGCACAGTCTCCTGCTCTCGACCTCCCTCCGCGGGCCTCGCGCGCGGTTCCGAATACGTGCGCAGCCTTCCGTTGGAAGGGAGGAAGCCCCGCCGCGGGTCTTCGGCATAAACGCGCGACTCGAGAGCCCAGCCTTGGATGCGGCACGCGCGCTCCTGAGTCAGATTTAGCTTCTGACCAGCGGCTACCTGCAGGAAAAGCAGAAGCATCCGTCAAGCTCAGGATGGGCGCAAAGGGTTCTGCTTTTTGTTCAAGGCCTTTGTTTTGCTCGCCATGCCACAAGTTTTCTTTGGCTTGTCGTGTCGCTTCCTTCTGGTTGTCATCATCGTTCTGCTCCGACTCCGTTGGAAGTCGAAATTTCGACAAGCGGGCGGGATTTTGGATCGGGCGGTACCTCATTCGGGCAATGCCTGCCTGACCCTTCCTTACCCTATGTTCAGAAGGCCGCACATTCAGCAGTGCGGAAGAGCTTATGCTTTTACGGTACACTCATCGAGGTAAGAGTCCGACAAATCTCAGAATGCTCACATTCACCTCCAGGTAAGAGCCCGACAAGTCTCAGAACGCTCATACTCACCTCCAGCAATCCCAGTCGAAGAATCAGCTCTATGAGCGGAAAGTAAAAGCGAAACCCAAACGCCTGGACTTGTCGCGTTTTCACGCAATCCAAGCTCCATGGCAAGAAGCTCCAGATCCCATCAATAAAAGGGGAAAAGCTTCGACCGGCAAACAGAGACCTTGACATCTTCAAACTTCGGTTGAGTACGGGCTTCGAGAGGTCCAGTCCAAGGATGAGCTACGTGGCAAAGAACCAAGACAAAATCTTACTTTTCTGAACCAGTCCCGAGCAACAAAGATAAAGAGCTCAGGACCCTCACTTTGAGCATGAACTCCACGAGGTCAAGGGCGATGAGCCCTTTGACGGTGCCTGAACCAGAGAAACAGAACCTAGAACCCAGAGCCCAGAACTCGAACACGCAGATGGGTGTCATCAACATTTCAAACGCCTCACTTTGAGCATCAGCTCCACGAGGTCCAGCCCAGTGATGAGCTCCGTCACGGGATGCTCCACCTGCAGCCGCGTGTTCATCTCCAGAAAGTAAAAGTTGCGGTGCTTGTCCACCAGGAACTCGACCGTCCCGGCGGATTGATACCCGACCGCTTTCGCGAGCTGCACCGCCTGCTCGCCCATGGCTTTTCGGGTCTCGGGGGTGATGAAAGTACTCGGGGCTTCCTCGATGACCTGGAAACATAAAGGGGCTCTTTTCAATCAAGGCAGAAGCGTCCTCTGACCAAAGCTTATTGGGAAAAAATGCCACAGCTTTGTGGGTCTCCGGGTTGAGGAAAGTGCTCGGGGCTTCCTCAATCACCTGGAACCAATAAAGGACCCTTTACAATGAAGGCAAAAGCGTCTCCTAAAGCTCATCGGAGGGATTGCCACAGGTTTCCGGGTCTCCGGGTTGTGGAGCACGCTCGGGGCTTCTTCGATCACCTGGAGAGGGAAAAACGGTACTGTGATTACGGCAAAAGCGTCTGCAAACCACACCTTCTTCGAGAAGTGCTCGGGGCTTCCTCAAAACACTTGGTGAAAGAAGCGCGGTGCTTTTGAACAGCGGCGCTGAGTACAGCTCGTTTGCGAAAAGGCCAGAGCTTTCCAGGTGTCGGTGTTTGAGAAATACGCTCTGGGCTTAATTGATCAGCTGAGAAAGGAACGGGACGCTCTTATGACCGAGAAGAGAAATTTGTCGCTGAGTACTGCTCGTCTTCAAAACGGAAGTGCGTTTGCTGTGAGACTCTGTCGGAGTCAACAGCTGCAGCTGTAAAGGAAGAAAGCCTCGGGTTTCGGCTGTTGGGGATACATGACACTCTACTTGCACTTTGTCCCCTTAATTCAGGCCTTGAAACGTGAAGTTTGGGACAGCTTGCAAGCATCTTTACCACAAATCACCCGTAGTCGTTTCCAGAAAGAGGCCGAATCTGTGCCGAAACTCCAGCTGTTGAAATTACTGACCGATTTGTGAATGGGATTCACCCCCCGTTGTATTCTGACAGACGTGCGACGCCAAAGACGAGCGAGTCCCTCGAGACACATGATGTTCCAATCAGAGGTCTCTTTCCGTGCTCTGGACCTGATCGTTTCTGTTCTACCTCGCCGAAGTGACCCTAAAGGGCAGCAGCTCACCTTCTGGTTTCTTCGTTGAATGGAGCACTCCCGCTCGGGTAGATAGAATGTGTTGCCGAACGAATCAGCTATCAGCTGGATCTCGATGTGCCGCGGCTGCTCAATGAACCTGCGACACGTGTCCCATAGGGGTGTGAATGATAGGCGCGTATCCACATCGAGCTCCAAAAAGTCATGTTAAAAGCAAGAACAAAGTCTGGTACAACTTAGAGCACACTGTGATGAAAGGACCAATTTCAATCGTGAAAGGTACTCATCAGGGGCTGAAAGCAGAGGACCAGCTTCATGTTGCCTAATCGGGCCAGAAAATTGGTTGACTGATGGAAGATGGACGTCAAACGGGTCGACACAGCTAGTCGTCGAAGAAACAGGGAGTAGCATTGTTTTCTCACTTAGCTGTCTCGAGCAGATTGCACTTGAGAATTAGCGTTCAACTGAGAAAGCATGTGCTATGCTCACTAATCAACGGATTGAGCATGACGGGCAGGATGCTTCTCCTTAGTCATCAAGCGGGATAGAGTAGTATTCAACGCTGGAGTACGCTCCAGTCTGCTCGAAAAACGTTTCCTTCCCGCCTGAAACCCACAGATGCTCACTTTTCGATGAAGATGCGCCCGTCGCCGAAGCTAGACACCGCCTCATCGTGGCACACGTTATACTGCTCCATCACCTCCTTCTCGCTCCTGCAAGCAGCGGTAAATGTCCAAGATCTTCTTCATCTCGAGCATGAGAGAGCATCCCTGCAACTTCGATCCTGTTCGACCGGAGGCCGGGTGTTCCTGTCGCAACGCTGCCTAGTTGAGTCAACAACTCGAATTCGAATGACTTGGAGAAGTGCTTCTGTGACGGGCAATCCGTGAAGTCTTATTCCTTCAATAGATAACGAGGGTCTCGGATCCTCAATGGAAGAGGCATATTTGGGAAGCTTCTTTGCGAACGGAGATCGACTCGACTTCTCAATCAAGACTTCAGATGCAGCATTTTTAAAGTTTCCAGCCTTGTCAAATGTGAGCTTGCTCAACCTACCAAGCAATGCGCATGCCCTTTCCTCCCCCTCCCGCCGAAGCCTTCATCATGACCGGGTAGCCAACCGCCTTGGCTGCACCGGCAGTGCAAAGGAAAGGTCAACAACGGGTTTTGCGCAAACGGCCTGTCCTCACCAGTTTGGCGATCGTCAAAAAGCTGGATTCAGGTTCTTGAGTTCGTTTACCATAAAGAGAGAAAGTACTCTCTGTTACGCCGTTGTTGAAAGAAAAGCCGGCAACACCAAGAAAGGGGACTGGGGCTCGCCGAGCGTTCTTAGAAGGACAGGAGCGGTCGAACTTTGAGAGCGTGATGGCTGCAAGAAGGAAGTAAGATGCCACAATATACGATGAGAGAAAAGTCAAGGCAATGTTCAGTCAGGGAAGGGCAAGCGGCTCACCAACTTCTGCGGCGTGCGCAGCATCCCGGATGACGTCAGGAAATCCCGGGATCGTGTTGACGCGGGCCCGTTTGGCCAGTTCCTTGCTCTCAATCTGGAAAAGGAAGATGCCAATCAAAGGCAGAAACGAACAAGGGACTTGATGTTGAATGGATCGCAGACTTTCTCGGCCCGAGCCACGCACTTGGCTTGGCCAGGAGAAGTTGAGGGCGATATGAGGCACGTGCCTACGACTCTTCGAGCAGACGATTTGGACCCGACTCCCATTCAAAAGCGGAACACCATTTTGAGATGTAGTGAAATCCCAATAATTAATGAATCAGTAACCAATCAAGATGCACCCAGAAACTGCTGGAACTGGCTCGAGGACGGGTCGAATCGTGGATTCTAAGCGTGACAGAGAGGGAGTCGGTTGTCAATGTAAGAAGTATAGAAGGGGTCGTCCGCATGCGGAGTCAGAACCCTGTGCAGACAAGGAAACATTCGTACCTTGTCCCCCATGGCGGCAATAGCCGACGAAGTTGGACCCACGAACTTGATTCCCTCCTGTTCCAGCCGTTCCACAAAGGCAGAGTTCTCGGACAGAAAGCCGTACCCAGGATGGACCTGCAACGCCACATGATTGTTGATTAATTGAATAGGCTTTTCAGTAATTGATCGATATAATAGACATAACTATTATAGTGCGATTGATTATTTCGGAATTAGCAGTAAAAGGGTGGCACATTTGCTCTTAACTTTTCGAAGTCAAGCGCCTGCGTCAGCTTTCAGGCACAGGCAGCATCTTGTCATGATAAGTTCCATATTGCTTTTCTTTTACGACATTCTGCTTATGAGGGGCCTTCCTGAGCCAGTTCCATGAGCATGAGCACACATGGACCAGGCTCAGCTAAACAGTATTCTTCTTTCGCTTGAAAAGTTGGCCAAAACAATAAGAACGTGCAAAAGGACTCCGCTTTATCCATGCATACGTAAAACGGAAGAACGTCAACACTTTATGATTGGGGCAAGGTGGCTCACCGCTTCTGCTCCGGTGCTCTTGCACGCAGCCAGGATCGCATCAATGTTCAGATAGCTCTTGGTGGAAGCTGCAGGGCCCTGAAAGATTAAACCCCACACTCAGATGAGGATGATTCGGAGAGATCACACTGTCGTATGATTTCGACTACGTCACTTCGATTTCAGAACGATTGAGCTACCTCCGAAAGTTTCCACCGATAAACGCGAGGAGTCCTAATGATTCTTGAGGAATTCTGATGATTCGTTTGTACTTCTCCTTTGGTGCTCTGACCTTGTTTGGAGAACCTGTGACAAAGTACACACTATACTCAGATTCACGTGGTCCAAACTTCGGGACAATGTGAATAAATCTTTCATGTCGACCCCAGAAAGCTTTGCCGGAGACATTTAAGCTGTTGGAATGTCTGGGATCCTCACCACGCAGACAGCCTCATCTGCCATTCTGACATGGAGTGCATCCGCATCTGGTTCGCTGTGCACTGCAACGGTTTTGATCCCTAAGCGTCGGCAGCTTTTGATGACGCGGCAGGCGATCTCGCCACGGTTTGCAATCAGAATCTTGTTGAAAAGCTGCAGGGTTCGCACAGAGGGGCAGCTGGATGAGCGAATGTTAAAGCACAGGCACGAATTCGAGCTGCCTGAGATCATGAACTTTTGGTCCGGAAATCTACCTCAGGACTTATGCATTCTTATCGTTCTGGTTACCTGCGGTGAAACTTGGAAAACCCATATGGAAGGGGCAACCGTTTGTGATTGAGGAAGCTGTCACCAACATATCGTTTTGTTGCAACCAGGTTTGACAAGAATGCCTACAGGAAGTTTGACAAAGAGTTGATCAGAAAGACAGGAATTGCTGTTCTTTGTGAGGCGTCATTCTCCTGTAGCTTTTTGCAGAATTTCTCCAGGCATACCTTCAAGTTCTTACGAAAGACTTTCAGTTTTTCAAAACATTCTTCATGGAACATATCAGCAGGGTTGGGGGCAATCTGGTTTACATCAAAACCATTTCAGTTTCTTGTTACTACCTGTGTGCCTTTTGCTGGTTTTCTGACACCTTCAGAAGTGATTTGATGAGCTTTGTCCAACCAGGGACGGCCGATCGATCACCCACCTTTTTATCTGATGAAGCTGGCCTTGCCTCAGCAGCTGCTGCATTCGGCTGACCAGCCGTTGCATATCCTCTCCCTAGATAGAATTGTGTGAACTTGTCCCGGTCCTGAGTAGCACCACCTTCTGTGCCAAACAGTGTCCCAGCAGGTGCAATCACACCCAATGCTCCACAGGGCCGGAAGTCTGCAAACCTTCCCTCTAGTTGGCGTCTTGCCCTGAAAGCAGACTTGTTTGAGAGGCCGAAGGTTTTGCGGCGTCCACTCTTTGTAGAAACCCCAGACTCTTGACAATCTGGTGGTTGTGCACTTTGCTGCCAATTGAGGTCAAACTGGCTGCCGTTGCTAAGCGCTGGCTCTGTGCCAATGTGAGCACAGCCTGCTAGGTTGTTGTCATTAACATCTCTGCTACCATTTGGACTATGCCAGCTAGTAGACGCCAGGGCTCTTGCAGCTTTGCGTGCACTCCCTCTCGCGGTGCTGTTTAGCTTACGCAAAAGAAGACCTTCCTTCAAAAGACGCGCCATTTAATTTTGGAATCAAGCTCCTCAAACCTTAACAATTGCTTCACTTTTTCGACACAACAATGTGCATGGTGCTCCCGAAATTCCTAATTGCTTTCTGCCAAAGAGCTTTACGATCGTGGAAAGGTGCCAAGTGCGAACGGGCAGCTGCAAGCTACCTATCCCTTTGAAAGCGTCTGGTTCAAGCTCCAATTCTCGAAAAATTCACGTGCAATCTTCAAAGCTGAGCTGGATACCGGTAGCATGCTGCCAAGTCACTCTAGCCTTTAGGACTAACGCCGACGGCGGCCTTCGGGGCCGTCATGCGGCATGCCGACTTGGATAGAAGCATGAGGCCCGGTTTGAAAGGCCGGTGAGAAGTACCATGCAGGAGTCGGATTTTGGGCCCCTTGAAAGTGTATACTAAGAAGCGTCGGGATAGCAGAAGCGTCAGCCGGCGTGACTTCGAACCGGGTGCAGACTGAAAACCGACGGTTCTGATTTTCTAGGGTTCCGGCACGCTTTCATCTTGGATGAAAGTTGAAACTCCCGTTTATCCTGTTCATGGATGCACGCATGACTCGGCCTGAGTCCGGGGCCGGATCGACCGGAATCGAAAACAGACGGAACGGATCCAAGCCTCTGCAGTCCCACGCACTGCAGATCTCCGATATTAATTTAAGGAATATTAGAATGGCTCGTGCAGCTGGCTGGGCAGGCATGCCGCCCTGTTAATAACAACATCAGCCACACGTACACCGGATGTGAGGGCATGCCATACACATGTAGAGACCATGCCCAGGTTGCATCCGGCCACTATCTACTTCGGCCCGCTTCTTAGTATACACTTTCAAGGTGCCACTGGGAAGTAAATGACCGTCACATAGGACAACGACCGTCCAATCTAGTGGCCATATGTATCTGATCATTTGAATGCATCCAATCGACATATCCTACTAACCGTCACGAGGTGGGATGTTCGAAGCAATCGTCAAACGTAGGTATGTGATTATTGAACTCAGTCCATCCCAGTCAAGAATATAAGTCAAGCGCTGGAGGATTGCCAGGTTGCCTACGTTGACGGGCACTTCATCCTTACATGCAGATTGAGTTCAAGTTTCCAACTGAAGCGCTGGACTGATCAATCAGCTTCGGAATCTCAGGTCTGCATGCTTCTCATTATGCTACTTCAGTACCTTAGGGCACCTATACGGGGTTCACATGTCTGGATGCACTCCTCTCACAATGCTTCTTCCTTGCAACACAAAGCAAACAAAGCAGCCGCTAACCAAGTTTCTCGTAGATTCACCTGCGTCACCAAGAAGCGACTGACGGGGTCACTAATGGCAACGTACCTCTTTGACTACCTCATCTTGTAATGTTGCACCCGCTTAGCCTGCCCCTTTTTGCCCTCGAAGCTGTATTCCAAAACGATGTCCAGGTCTCTAGGATTCAGCTTGTTTCGGGCGACGGACAGTGTGCCTTTCAAGCACTCCCCCTCGCAGATGGTGATTCGGTCCTCGAGATACATCACGGACTGCTTCCAGTGAGTGGCGCGAGCCTTCGGGCCTGCACCGAGAAACAAGGGGTCAACACTTGAGCAGAAGATCGGAAATGAAAAGGTGCAACGTCAAGAGTGGTTCAAGAAGTCGAACCGCATAAAAAGGTCTGCAGTCACAGCGGCGCTGACGAAAGGACCTCCTCACGTGCTGAGAGGCTGACGGCTTCTGGCGTCCCGGTATTGGTCACATGAAAGACGAGGGTTTTTATATCTAGATCTGCAAAAAAGCCCGTACTTAAAGAAGTAGCCGGATTCCAGCTCAATTAAAATACACGAAAGTCACATCAAGGGGGACAAATGCACTCCCTCAGCCGTGGAGACGCTTATAGGCTCGAGGAGCACTTGGTGAAAGAAAAGTCATGTTTTCGAGACTTCAGAGAACTGGCATACAAGGCCCCTATCCCGTATCCAAGCTTTTGGCTTCAGAATTGATAAACATTGTTGAGAGAGAACCGCCGCCAAACCAAGAGTACGCTCCTCACTGTAGGAAAGCTGATGGCATTGTGGCACTTGGTGAACAGCACGTAAGTATCCGGGGGGATGAGAAGACCCGGCGAACAAAGCCCCCCAACTTTGCATGATTTAAGCTCTTGGCTTGGCTTTAGTATCTTCCCAGAAGTTCTTCTTACCCAGCGGAGCACCTGCCTCACCCGTGGAGAAGCGATGGGCTTGTGGCATCGGTGAACGACACGCGACTGTCCAAGTTATGAAGAATACTTCCTTACACAGCTCAAGTAATAAACTATCGAGACCAGAATTTTCTACTCACCCGTTGAGAAGCTGATGGGCTTGTGACACTTGGTGAAGGACACGTCGAAGTAGGCCACGAGCGCATGGATGTAGTCGTCCCGCGTCGCGACCAGCTTGAAGGGGACGGTGAAGTCGCACTCCTCTTTGGCGATCGTCATGATATCCATCTTTTTGAGCAGGCACGAGTTGGTGACGACCTGGTCCGGGTCGACGACGTCAACCAGCGGCTCGAGCATTGCGGCCGTCTTGATGGAGCTGAAGTCAAAGCCGTACACGTTGTCCCAAACTGCAGAGCGGCGGTAACGAATCAGAGCTGCGACCTTAGTACTTCTAGCTTCGGTATCAACCGTAATCAAGTTCTGTCAGGGCCCTTGATGGAGCTGAAGTCGAAAGCGTACACGTTGTCCCAAGCTGCAGAGCAGCGGTAACATTAGTACTACTCGTTTCGGTGTCAACCCGACTTAGTTCGTCCTGACCGGGCCCTTATTTGTTTCGGAGTTAACCCGACTTGGCTCGTTCCTGTCAGGGCCCTTGACGCACTTAAGATCGAAGCCGTACAATTTATCCCAGTGTGCACAGAAGCGGTATTTCTCGCTGCTGCAATATTTCTTTACAAAGTATACGTGCTTGATTTCAGATGCTTGGTAAAGATCGTCCCTGTCCTGCCCATCACATGCTCGACGCAACGGTCAGTAAGTCGTCGTAACCAAACGTCGCAGTTTTAAAAGGAAAACTTCAGATCCTCTCTTCACAGTTGCTCGATGGCAATACTCACAGTTGATCTTCTCGTCCTTGTAGTCCCCATCCTCGATCGCCGTCAGGAATAGACTGGCCTTGTCCGGAAGAATGATCCCGTCCGGAACAAGCCACTTGTCGCGCGCAAAGAGTACCGTGTCCAGCATCGATTCGTACAGCAGGAAGTAGCCCATCCATTCGGACACAATGATGTCCACGTGGTCCACTGGCAGCGTCAGCTCCTCCACCTTGCCCTTCAAGACCGTAATCACTATACGGAAAATGGTCCGAAACATGGTTGTGGCAGCGCTCGAATGTCTTTGCAAACCTCCGAACTTCTTTGAAAAGGTTGCTAACAGGCTCGACACCGGTCAGCGCACGATTTTATGATGGTTCAAATTGTGAACGAGCGCCCGCAGGGTTCTGGAATGCTGAAATCCGCCAGATCCGCTTCCAGAGCGTGCAGGAAAAGATCAGGTTGTTCTCCTCGAGCCGGCGTGACATTCTTCTTAAAGTATCGAGATGGCCTTCGATATGCTCAACTTCCCCCAAGTGAAGGAAGGCCGAAATCAACGCTGTCCGAGTCGGTTAAATAGCTTCAATAGACGTTCACCAGTGCCAACAAAGGATTAAGTTGGCGCACAGAACTTGCTTGCAGAGTATGTGAGGAACGTCTGCATGATCCCTGAAATGCATAACAACCGTCACCGACCAAAACGAAGAAGCCCATAAACTAAGATCGATCATGCAGACTTACCGTCTTCATACCCGTTCGCTTTGATTATCTGTTTGGCGCTGTCCGCTATGTCCGAGCACTCCACCTGCACCACGGACGAGTCCGCGTTTCAAACCAAACTTCCCATACGGCCTTTCAAATGTGCTCCAACACAAGCGACAGCCCGTCTCAAGCAGCCGCCAACGACTTCGACGTGCATGTAACAAAAAGTCAACGCTCCATAGGCACTGGAAGAAAAGGAATGCAAATGCAAACTCCAACGTGGCCACTGCGAATCCAAGATTAGGAAAAGGAAGCCCGGCCTGAACGAAGAACCTCCACAACTTCACCTCTCAAAATTGCCGGCTTTCAACGTCTGCCAAGCGCCAAGAACAGGCCCGGATGTCTAGCGTCAACCAACCTATCATGAGTCGAGGGGCTATATTTCCAAAACAATTGAATGACAGTATCGCTTGCATAGGCTCCCCTTTTGTAGGGCAGCCAAAAACTTGACCAGAAAGCTGCGCCAATCTTTCAAAGCACTGTCCCGAGCAGCCAGTGGCGTCAGCGAAGCTCACCCCGTAGACGTGCTTGGCCCCCGCCTTTGCGCAAAAGAGCGAGAGAATCCCGGTGCCGCAGCCGACGTCCAGGACAATCTTATCTTTGAACAGGAACTCGTTCTGGTAGATGGCGTTCTGGTACGTCTTGGTGCGCACCGTGTCCTTGAGCATCTCCTCATGAATGCCTGCAGATTGAACGAACAGTTTCAGAGTCAAGAAATCTAAGGGACTCGTGCTTTCAGAATCTGTTCCCGTCTTCATGCGCACCAAGTCCCTGAGCATCTCCTCATGGATGCCTGCAGATTGATAAGAGCATTGCAGACTTAAGAGCAGGAACAATGAGAGTCGGTACGGGAGAGAAGCTGAGGCTGGGGCCTATTAGCGCTGCATTTTGTACTAAGTCACGGAGGAGTCGACTTTCAATGGGGTTAAGTTGTCTCAATCTCACTGAAGGTGTCATCTTAAAGCACGGCACATACGTAATACATTGTGAGTAATGCCAAGGGGACGAGGAGATGTGGATTGCGCAGAATCTCACTGAGTCTGCCAGCCGCACATTCGGCAAACTCAAATCCCCGAGCAATGTTGCGAAAATGATGGAGATGGCTCACCAAAGTGTGAATATGAATCAAAGTAGTAGTCTGCGCTCGTCTTCTCGACTTTCTCCCCAGGGGCGTGGCCATTTGCAGACGGGGGTGTTGGGGCGCTGGCTTCCGAAGCCCCCACTGAAGCATGTCCGGAAACAGGCCCGTCCTGCGGCAGAGATGGGTGCCGCTTCATGTGAACAGCTAAAATGCTTTCAAGAGGTAGATTCAAGTGACTCAGGAAACCGGGACAGTCAGCAGCAATGCATTGAAGAGGTCCGATAACCAGCATTTCTTTAGGTATTATCCTTTCAATTTGATCAAGTACGTTGAAGCCAACACCAAGTGATGTTGACAAAATCGTAGTTAAGAACCTTTTGCCAGCTGGAGTGTGCCAGGTTTTACGAAAACCATACAAAATATGTGTTCTGAAAGACTAGTGCCTTATGTTTGGTGACAAAGCAGACTGGCCACAAAAGAAGGACCCAATTAATCACTTCGTAGCACCACCAATGGCCGGAAGCTTCTTTCACAAGTCCATTCTTTCTAGATTGTACTCAAACCCCCAGTATGTCCAGCATGACGTTTCATGCCAGCCAGAAAGAGGTTTTTCCCAGAATGAGAACAGCGATGGATGAGACGGGAATGCTAAGCGGCGGCGGACCGGGCAGCACTTTGCAGCCAAAGGTCACTCAGCTGGTTCGCCAAAGGTGGTGGCTCACTATTTGTGATAAAGAAGCCCTTAACATGGACTCAAGCCTAAGGTTTCGAAAGTCGAGGCATGCTGTAGCAACCCTTTCGCCAGAGACTACTCGAAGAGGTAAAAGCATCAGCAGCTCGGCGGTGTAAGGAATCATGTAAAAAGCAAGCCAACCAGCATCTGGACCCCCAACCTGTCAATGATCTACAATCACAGAGTCCCTTGGACTCACCAATGGACTTACCACTGGACCCATCACGGACTGCACAGTGGTAGCTATAATATCCACTTTGGCCCTCAAAGTTTCATGACATTGACATATGCAGACCAAAGAGGAAAGCTCAAAGAGGTTACAAGTTCTAAAGAATGCGGCTACCTAAAACAGCAAGATCTGCGAGCGGCTTACCTCCACATCCATCTCTCTTATATGCTTGTTGAGTTCGCTCGTCCCTGTAGCGTCATCAGCGAGCTGCGCTGCCTTGCCCTTCCGCTTCCCCATAGCGTCCTGGCTGCTTGTGGAATCTACCGGGCCAGAAGCTTTGCTGCACTTGCTGGATTATCGCCTCTCACGAGTGTCCGCCAGAAATCTTCTTGCGTGACTAGCTACCGTCCATGGAACTTTTCAGGTTTTGAAAAGGCCAGAGCTGAGAGAGGGAGTTTGAACTAGCCATGGCAAGGTTTGGTTACTTACCATTACCGGTCCCCCCGGGCCAGTGGCAGCCGGCCCCGGCCGGACTCAATGTTTACGGGTGCATGTTTGTGAGACGTCCGATCCGCACAAACGTGCATCGACGGTCGAACTGACATGACAGCATCATCGTGACACCAATCAGCCTGGGCGGCCGCGTAGATGGGTAGTATCGCCGCACTGATCGGGCAACGGTCAGGGCCGCCAAGATTGCCGGCTTCAAGTCTGCAGGGGAAAGGCGGCTGCTTCGGCTGCTCACAGGGCATCTTCAACAATCGGCCTTTGAAGTAGTACTAGAAGTTCTGAATTGGATGAAACAATCTTGGGTACTTGGGCACTGGCCGACGCATGACGCACAAGTGTTCTTGTTCATCAGACGCTCATTGCAAGCCACGTACGTCATTCGCTTAGTAGTACGTGCGGGGTAATCAACAAGGAAGAAAGGAACTTTGATGCAGCGGCCCGCGGCAGGTTGCACTGCAAGTTGGATTTACCTGACCATACTAAGCCACACAAGGTCAGGCCGTTCTCCTGGCCGAGGCGGCCGCCGCGATGTACGACACTGGAACACTGCATGAGCTCGAATCTCTGACAAAGCACAGAAATTCAAATCGCCCCAGCTCTGCTACCTATAGGAGACTTCGATATCGCTCGCTTCATAAGGCAAGCTCAATTGGCTATAATGCCCGCGCCTCGAAGATTAATGTGAGTGCCAGTGACGGCACCTCAAGTATCTAAGTATATAAATCTCACGTCCTTTCGCCTTTGGTCAAGTACCTGGCTTTGACAAAACTGCTGATGCGAATCATACTATGTTCTTAGCGCGGCCATATTGGCCCAACTCGAGCGAATCATCAACGCTGAGATCGTCCTTTCGCAAAAGCTATTGGAAGTACTTTCAGCAACACTCAAAAACACTTTCTAGATAAATCTAAACTCTGGGGCACCGTTCCCGAGAAGCTTTCGTTCTCTAGGTGCAGAAAGTCGGCTGGTAGGTGTAAACAAAGTTGGTCTTGGTCTGGTCGCCCCTAACCCACGTGGTTAGTGACTGCATCTGCTCGAAGAGGAACTTGGCGTTGCGGACGACGGTCCCGGTGTAGTCCTCGGAGGAGAGCTCGTACTTGAAAGACGCCTCAACGAGGACTGCACAATGGAGCAAAAGTCTTCAGTCCGATGAATCATCAAGGAATGAATTTTGGGTGGCTGATCGAACAGTCGCTCCATCTCCGAAGTGGTACAAGGGGGAATTTGCTCCAACCAGGACCGCGGGAAGCCGTTTCCAAGATTGGCAATATGAGTAGACAATTCCAAATGAATAATTAATCGCTCTGATACACGTCAGTGGGGCCGACGACGACTTCGAGTTGCCTGCTTTTTGCAAAGGACCTAAGCGGTGGCCCAATGGTGTTACTAAACACTAGCGGTCGCCCGCTCATAAGAATCCGCAAAGCACTAGCCCACTTGCCGAAGATAGAGGGAAAGCTTCACGTCCGTAAGTTTCGAACGTACATACACGTGATAGGAGAAGCAACCAAGGTCTATGATCGGCTTTCAACGGAATCACGTGTGGCTCCAAACTGCAGCAGCTTTGTGCAAGTCCTTCTTTTGACGCGAATCACGGCCAACGACTCGACCTCAAGACGGCATTTCAGAAAAGCCCTTGCAGCGCTCTGCAGAAGATTTCTACCGAGGGAGGCCTAAAAGAAAAGTCGAGGTCTTGGCCGAAGCACGTTTGACGGCAACAGTCCGACATCATTGCCAGTACAAGGTGAATACATTTAACAGCCTTCTAATCAGGATATGTAATCGGCAAGCATCCCTGGTTTATCCCGAATTCTTACCGGGCGAGGTGGCCGTTGGTGACGTGTACCAGACGGTCACCGAGAATTCGCAGCTCAGAGCTCCGAGGTCGACAGTCTGCGGTTCGGACGAAACAGGTCCGGTTAGTATAACCCGCAAGGGGTTCCGATTGCGCCCGAAGAGGTCCGTTAGAATTTCAAACGGCAACGTAATACATGATCAGGAAGATAAGATCGGCGATCCTTTCTAGTCTGTAGATATGGCCTGACAAAAAGTCCGGGTTTGAAATCGAGCTCCCGTCGTCTTCTTGGACGTGCTCATCGACGGCCCACCAAATCCTTGGTGAATACCAAGAAAGGTTCCCCGTATTTGGATTAACTTGCCCTCAAGAAGTCTGGGTTCAGAAGCGGGTTATTACCTCGTCTTTGTAAACACGCTCCTCAATTGTGAGCCCGCCAACCTTGACCAGCGCGAGTGAGTCGGAGTAGCCGTACTTGTCACGGAAGCCGTGGAACTGCTCGTTGATGTCTTGCATCTCGTTCAGGTTCTTGCTGCAGAGGAGGGACCGTTTGTTGCACTCATATACTGCCTTCTCTTTCGACGTGCGCTTCTCGTGAAATTAAAGACTGAACCGAGAGAGACACCTCTTGGCTTATTGTAGGGAAAGTGAATTGGTCTTAGAAACATCCTGAGATATGGGCACAGGGCTTTTGAACACATCCAATAGATGCTCTCATTTATGCGGATGGTTCTCTACGTGCTGTGTGCAAGAAAGCAGCAAACCAATCTCGAAGCGACGCAGAAGGTTTCAAAAGCGATTTCCAACCGCAGCTACTATTACCAGTCTAAGCAGGCATGTTTGCACTCACTTTAGCCTGCACCAACACTGACCTGCACTAACGCTGACCTGCACTAACACTGACCTGCACTAACACTGACCTGCACTGACCCAACCTGCACTAACCCAACCTGCACTCACCCAGCACCGATGCTGACCGTGTTCGAACTGGACCACTTGGAATTGAAGGGAGCAGCAATATCCTCTTCGAACTTGGAGCTGCCGGGGTCGACTGCAGTAGACAATCAGCGTTCCGAATGAGGAAAAGCGGGTTGAAAGGCTCTTTGAAACCGGTCGAAGCTCTGATTATGAACTGAACAGCCGTAAGTCGGTTTTATGCCGCAGCTTAAGTAGTCTGCCTTCGCAGCTCGGTCCAGCGGTACGCATGTGCCAAGCCAGTAGTGGTGACGCAATCAAAACGGCCTAAAACCAGTTGTACTTGTTATGTTGGCCTTCTCAAAATTCAGCTTCCCAGTAAAGTGGTTCTAGCTACACGAGGAAGAGATCCAAGAATGGACTTCAGTGATATTATCCCTCGCTTCAGTACAACTCACAAAGAGCTCCTGCAGGCTCGTCAAGGCTTCAAGGCTCGTTATGGAACGTGCATGATTCACTACAGAGGAGGCACAGCGAGCCGGACCTCGGGAGTTTACAAACTACTGAAAAGAAAAAGATGCGAGTACACATGTACGACAATAAGCACAACGTCGAACTTCAGACATGTGGTATGTACCAGAGGTGACGTCCTCCTTGGCAGCAATGTAGCGGTCCGGGGAACGGAACTTGAGGGTCACCTCGCGCGCGCCGCCCTCGTTGCGCTCACGGTATGCGTAGCCATTCTTGTTGACCAGGCATGTTCCTGCGCATAGCAGAACGAAAGGTTCAGTATTCCTTAATTCTCGAGTGCTTCGAACTCCAAAAACGTAGCTTCTTTGTGCGGACCTTTGTCAGCCCATCCAGTCGGAATGCTAAGAAGTTCGAACAGGGCGTCAAGGGATCTCTTTACTACACAGAAGCTTAGAGATGGTTTGAATGTGCACTTTGATGAAGCAGCAACGAGGGTGTTTCTCCCGAAAATTTCAATATCCGAAGCTCGCTTTGAATAGGATATCTTGCATAACGAGGATAGAAAGGGCCAATCGCCAGGACTTGTTACGCCTGCAGTAAGCGTAGTCTACTCTGCAGACTGATGCTGCTAGAACAGGGGGACTAATGTACCAAATCCCGTCACTTCTTATGCTGTACATAGTGTCACGTAACAAGATATCAAACAGGAAACTTTCCATTTTTGACATAAGCTGTCACAGGTGCTGCAGCTGTTTAAGGTTCAGTGGCCTGGGGCCTGGGCCTTCCCTTTCAGAGTTTCGTTTGCTACCATGGGCTACACCTTATAAATTGGTGTGTAACAACAATTGAGACTGAAAGCATATCCTGCTGCAGTCTGGAATCACTCAAGGCTAAAAATAAAAGGGTTAACCGCCATATTTGCCCACCCTGGGTGTCGTAGAAGGAGATAGCCCGGGAAGTGCGGAGGTCGAAGGCACTCCCCCCGATGGTGCAGCAAGTAATCTTGGGGGCAAGGGCGGTCCACCAGTTGCGCACCTGCCAGCAATGCTTGTTGTCAAAACTTCCCTATCCTCAAACGACCAGGAACTTACAGGTGACTTGAATTAACCAGTGGAGTACCTGTTCTTATGGCCCATGAAGTAATGGATCTACGGCAGCTGCCTCCTGGTCCCTCCTGCATATAAGGAGGTTATGCCGGAACCCAGCTTGTTGAGAAGTGGTTAAGCTTTCCTTGCCTTGGTTGTTTTACCTGTAGAAACAGTCAACAGACACCTACCAAATTTTCATGAAGGCAACACTTCTGAGTTAGATTGCCTTCCTCAGCTTAGTGACCCAACTTTCGCATCTCAATGACCCCGCCAATACTTACTGCGGTCTGGGTGGCGGCAGACCCCGGCGCGCCAGCAAACTTGGTCTCGTCCAGCAGGATCTTGTACTCGCGAGACCCGACCAGGGGGCTGCAAGCAGCGGCATCAGCACCTGGTGAAACAGGGATTCAGAGAGGTCAACTTTTGATCCAGATTCAGTCTTCGTCATTCAATATCTGGCAGGTACGATTGTCTGGCAGGTACGATTGTCAAGGAGTTGTATGCTCATTGTGATAAGGGAGGAGGTCAAAAAAAGGGGATGACTGAGCAGATTGCGTGAATGATTCTATGAAGCAGGGTCCAAAGCAAACGTTTCAATGTGCGCATACATGCTAAGGTGGATAGCCAATGAGCTCTTGAGAGATGCTGACTGCATCATTGAAGTGAAAAAGATTCAGAGACATGTCCAACTGTTTGGAAAATCCTCTCGAAAGATGAGCGGTTGTGTGGAAAGATCGGTAGGATCAGTAACCAATAAGATTCCTTGGTGCCATAGACATGGAGTTTGAGGACCCGAGTACCAGGTTGATGTTGAATGCAAGCTTGGCATATCATCGCCGATTGTTTGAGCGCCAGTGAAAGCAGGGGAATCGCATCGATGGCTTTGGTTTGATATTTGCGCTGAGGCGTCAACATGCAATAGTTGGACAGCAAGAGGATGCTTTGGGCCGCTCTGTAAATCAACCTGGTGAATTACAGGGAGTAATACAAGACTTGCGCGAATGAGCGCTGCAGCAGCCTGGAGGCAGCTTGAGCAATGTGGGTTCCACCAATCTGTGTCCGGAAAGACTACTTGCCTAGCAGGGATTTGAAAGACAGTCTCAGGATTCTTTTGGGAGGCGACAAATTGGCCGCTCGTATTCCTGCTAAGCTCGCCATCAATGCTTGTCATACATAAGCAGAGGAATGGTACAGGAAAAAAAGAATGATACACAACTATCCCAGCACCACCAGTACTACTATTGAAATGCAAGCAATTGATGTGATTTCGAATAGAAATGTATGTCAGGAACTGAATACTATACTGATGGGCACCCAAATTCCCTAATATGCCTGCGTTATTGATCAGAACAGATCCAGACAGGAAGAGGCACAGGCTCACCTTGGAAAAGCAGGCATGCTGATGCGAGCACAATAGCCACGATGGCCAGCTGGGTGGCGGTCACGGAGGCCATGGCGGTAGGGCACACGTCCAAACGGTCCTGAGCTTTTCTGATAAACGTACCTTTGGTGATCGCAAATGCAGAGCACACAACGCCTGATGTGAGGGGTCAGTTGTTCCTAGCAGGGACACGGAAGGCTGGGGTGCAAATGTTGTAGGACATTGGAGCAGTGGACAAGGAACGTCAGGGAAGCGATGAGTGCTGTGCTCGGAGCTCCCTCGCTACAACAGCACAGCTGAGCACAACCAAGCACAGCCGCTGCTGCGGCGCTGGTGTGGATCAATTTGGAAGTGTCGTCACGCTGACCTCAGCAGATGCCTAGCTCACCCTATTGCACTGCGCAGCGGAATCGGGGATTCCATCGAATGAGCTCCCCATATTTAAAGCAATAGAGAAAGGACTCATTCTCAAAGCCAGCGACATTATTTCGCCCAGTTTTTCAGCCGGCAGGGGACCTCAGCAACACAGGAATTGGAATCACAATTCAGTATCCATTGTTCAAGGAAAGGAGAGGAGTGAAAGTGGAGGGCTGAGCTTCGCAACGAGTTCTTCAGTTCTTCGACCGAGCCATGACATGTGCACCTGTGCTGTGCGGCCAGCTGGCAATCCGCAATTATACTCCGTGCCTCCGAATATTCTTGAGGGATGACCACATACATTGGTACTCGGCTGTCGCCGGAAACTAGCCCGGCGCAAATGACCACCTAGGTCATGCCGGTTCAAGACTTTAACCTTACCGGTAAACTGCTATGCCCGGTAACGGGGCCAGCCTGCAGGAAATGATTAAGGACATGGGTTCCCTTGCGCATTTTACGGGGCCAGCCGGCGTGAACTTGCTCGACTTCCCGGGCTGTTTCCCCGGACTATGAGCATCAAAAACACAGTGCCTTGTCGCATTTATTAGGGCATCTTAAGCTGATTGACACGTCAGCCCGGAGAAGGGTGCCAATCATTGCACGGCCGGAGCATCGGATACGGCCGAGTCCCCGGTCTCTACTAGCTTCCCTACAGTACTCCAACCGGGGACTCCCAAGACTCCACTCGACCAGTGGCAGAGTGGCCCGTTCAGTAGGTATGTCAGTCGGAGTTGTCAAGTGATACGTTCAAAGAAGGCCGCATGCCCACCGAGGCACTAATTGACTTCCTCCTCAGCTGAACCTATGCGACGGTCCTTCGCAGCCGGTTGCACTTTGCCAGTACTGCACGCGTGAGTGTTAAACAAGTTGGATCATATCAGTCATGAAGCAAGGCTTTCGAACGAAGTCTACGGATCTCTGCATGCTGCATACCGTATGATAATGTAATCACGCTCGTGCTAGTGACGTCCGGCCTAGACGGTGATTACAAGATATTTGTAGTGGCACTGCTCCTACGTCACCGCATGCGCGGGCCCGTCAGAACGGTGTTTCAGGCAACGATTTATCAACGTGTAACTCTGTAGCCTGACGTACTAGTGTTATGGTCTACCCGTGGCACTTGTCCTCGTGCGTAAAGGGCCGCGCATCAGAACATACCGGCGGCCAGGGTATATCGTTCAAGCTCCATCTCTCTGCAATGAGCGCGAAATCCGGGCACGGGCCTTTTGAAGAGGAAGAGAGTTTAGTAGCAACGAATACCCAGGAGCTTTGATCTTCGGACAAGCTTCGAACACTCGGAACACTCCGATGCTTCAACGTTCAATTGAGAAGGGCCGCGCTCTTGGCGGCAACGGCGATGCCAGAAGTCAAAGCACTTGAGTCAGGTATACGTACCACGGAAGACTGCCAAAATGTATGCGCAAAGCTGGATTAATGGTGTCGATATAGTACCTGCATAGAAGTGAATTAAGATATATCGTGCGTTGAGGTTGCAGCGCTGTGTTTGCCTGATCGAGCACAGTCCCAATGTTGCATCTGATTTTCAGAATCAAGGCCCATCAACTCCGCGCAAGAGTGAGGAGGAGGCTCACCTGCAACTACTTGGGGGAATTCAAACACACAGTCGGTTTGGCGGTACTGTGAAACCGACGAGATGTCTCGAAATTAAAGAACGGCCTCCGCCTCGAAGGGAAGATAAGACACCAGGGTACTAAGAACGAGAAGCAGAGGTAAGAAGAAGAGAAGGAGTTGGGGATGTCTGTCGGTGGGATAAAACAAGAAGGAATAAACCAAAATTTCCACACCATCAATCTCAGATAATAAATTTTGCACGTTTAATCAAGTCAGGTGTCATCCGTTTGAAAGAATTACAGAAGCGACCGAAATCCGGAAATGCCCACTTGCGACGGAAAAGTAGCTGCCGGCCAGGCGAAGTGTCCGAAATGGATGAAGAATTGAATCAAAATTCCAGCGGCGCTTCTGAACATGGCACTGATCAGGGATGGCAAAACATTCTCGTTGAAGTCGTCGCACTCGATTGATCCGAAATTGTTTTAAGAAAGGCGCCTCCGCGGGATGGTACCCCTCCGTTGCAAAACTGGAAGCATGTGCAAGAGCTGTGATCGCATGTGCATAGTGCCATGCGATTGAATCCCAAAGCCAGAGACAACTGTAGAGGGGATAGTGCAAACAGATAAGGTGTAAAAGTGCCTGATGCCACGGAGGATGGCCTTTTTCGCGCGCCGCAAGTCGCTCCAGCGTAATGCACACTCGAGTGTCCAGGGTGACTGTGCCAGTACTAGTCTGTTCAAGTAAACCATACATCCGGTTTTGAGGTGCTAGACGACGATTGATGGATTGAGGACAAGCTGAAACGGAGACCTTGAATTTAGACAATAGAGTAGTCACTCCCACAAAAATTTAAACCGAAAAATGGAACAGTACTGGCAATGTCCTGCAGGTAATCATGCGCGAAGGTCAAGGAAAACAGAATGTAGTATCCGGCCTCAAAAGTTTGAAGAAAGCGAGCCCAGTGGGGTTTGCATTGCGAAATTTCACCTTTTCAAATGTGTGATCGTTTTCCTGAGTTGACAACTCTTCAGAGCTACGAGATTCTCGAAATCTTTGTTACGTGTTCCACTGTCGTGATACGCGCCAGAGTCACATGTATATTCAGCCCGAACACGTCGGGGCATTTACCGGTCAGCTTGCACTACTTTCGAGAACGATCATTGGTCAGCTGGCTGAGCAGATGCATTTGATTACAGTTGCTGATCGTTGCCGTGGGCTTCATGAAAGAGGAGTATGGCTGACTCCTCACTATATTGTCCTGACATGACGGCTGACAGCAGTGTATTAAAGCTCTCTCATCGCGGATTGGAACCTGTCCCGGGAAAAAAATAAAATGCGGTTCAACATTTCGCTTGAGCCCGGTCCGTACTCAATCCGACCAACTAGTCGTCTTCCAGAATTAGCACTCGGTCAAGGTTGAATTATACCGTGAAGGTAGTAAAGACTCTGCGCGGCACCTTTCGGATATCGATGTAGCACGGATTAGCCGATGATTACGTGTCGCGGCCCGCTGGCAACAAGATCCCCGGCTGGGATAACCTGGACACGCACACCAGCACACAGTACTATCCTTTGCTAATACTTGTCTATCCTAGCGCATTGAGGTGCAATCCTATTGTCTCAAAGTATTCCATGGTTACGACTCGGATGCCGCTGCGCCGACTGCGCGCGCAGCGGTCGTATGGCTGCCTGCGACGACGCCGGTCCCCAGCGCCTTGAGTCAAAGGGTGCTAGAAAACATGGCAGGCCGGCTACTGAGCTCAATGAGTCACCAGGTCGGAGGCTCTTGCCGCATGATCGTTACACCTGTCAGCTTGCCGAGCCACTGCCACGTGGCGTGGTCAGAGTCGCGCGAATCAGGTGCGGGCTGCCCGCCTGCGCCATGGCGAGACATCAGTACTGAAGCGGACGCAGCGGGTCACCGTGAATTCTTAAAGGCGTCAAAGCACTCTATTTATTCTCTCCTTTTTTGCATCAGCAGGAGTAAAATTGCATCCGTTTTGACTCTGTATCGCGTGATTCGCACCCTTGAGGATAGATTTGGCACGCGCGGCCGCGTACCGCAAGCATCCGGCGCGGCCGGCCGGGGGCCACGATTCAGAGCGGCCGCGGCGGCGGCCGAACTGTGACCCCCCCCCGCTTACGTGGCACGCGGCCGCGGGCTCCAGACGCGCTCGGATGCCGCGCCAATTGCTTGAGTAAGCAACTTCGAATTTTGCAGAATATTACATAATGCTTTCCATAGGAATGGGAAGTTTTTGAAGTTCGATGATTGTCGGAAACTCATCACCGTCAGAAGGAAGGTGATTTGCGCGGGTTGACGGCACAGATCTGCTGCCCCGTCACCGCCAATCTCGGGTGGCGGCATAGGGCCTCCATACGCAGGCGGAACTGCGAGTGGATCAGTAACGTAACCTGAGGTTACGTTACTAAAGCTGGTCTGACGTCAGGGTCACCGAAACTAGCATGATGGGGCTAGTTTCGGCTGAGACGGTGATGAGTGATGTGTCCCTTTTGACGTTTTGTTCATACCAGAGTCAGAGATTTGAGGGGCCGCTGTTTAGATCAGAACGACTTGTAGGAGGCGCTGCGGCTGTGCACCTCTATAGCAGTGAGACGTCTCAGTGGATTGTGACGCGTCGAGGCTCAATATGGCTGCGTTGCTTGAGAGCCCGTGTGGTGCAACGAGTGAGGTTGCAGGGAGGAGTGAGGGAGTCTTCAGCAACGACGAGATGACCATGCGCAGAAAAGGCGAGCTGAGCGAGTGGGTAGGAGGGCGGGTGAAAATTTCTCAGCAGCGCCGCCTTTGGCAGGCGCTCAACGCTGCTCAGCAAACTCTTTTGAATTGAGTGTTGAAGCGACCAGAATGAACAAGCGCCAAAGTGAGGCGCTTTTGTTCAAGAGGCTCGCTAGAGGCGACTATCTGGCGTCGCTGACTCATCTTTGAATTGTTTCCTTGCCTTGTCTCAAAGTTCTTTTCAGTTTTCTCGCTCGTCCTGAGGAACTCAAGTCGGACCAGGCACCGAAGCAGGACGCCTCAGCTCTTTGACATACAAGGGCTTCGCACCCACGCTTGAAAAGTTCGTAAGAATTCCCTAAGAGTTCCACAATACCGTCCATAGAATCGTACTAACCGCCCGTGGGCGCTGGCCGTATCTTCGGTCGGCGGCAGCGCGGCCGCGATGGCCGCGGCTAGCCGGCCGCGGCCGCACCGGGCCGGGCGGCTTGCGACTGGCGGCCGCGAACGTCGGCAAAGAACGTGCTTGAAGCACGCGCCAGGGACGAAAGGTCTGCTCAACTGAAAGTACTAGGGACGCTGCGCTTCCTCGACGTTCTACAGCTTTCGCGAGGCTTGCGTCACAAGCTTTGCCCTCCTTCTCAAAACTGCATAGACGATTGCAAGGATGGAATGCTTCAGCGGGATGATGCACTTCGCGGATGGCAAGAAGCTGACACCACAGCAATTTCAGTACCTCATGCTTTTCTGCAACATCCCGAGATTCAAGCGGAACGTGGAGCTCTTGAAAAGCCACTCTGATCCGCTCAGAGAGGCGGTGGGACTGCCGTTGGGAGAGGAGGGGGAGTACTTTGTGAGCAGCCAAGAGTATGAAGGATTGTCAGAAGAACTGAAGGTAAGCCTTTGAACGGATTCTTTCGCTATTGTGTACGGAAAGATGCGAGCTTTATCCAGAGCATATATGACCACTCCCTTTGTTTCACTAGACCTATCCCCTGAACAATATAAGATTGAGAATTTTAGAAATTTATAGCACTTGTACTGTCTGAGACCTTCTCGACTTGAATCAAATTTGAAGAACGGAGGCGGAAGTGACTCGACCCTTGGAAGCTAAGAAAAGAATATGACGGTGGTTTGACCAAGGATAGTTGGACTTTTGAACAACCACTTTTGTTAATTATTGTCTGTTCCACGAATATTGGTTTCTGTTTGTTCAAAACATTTGAGGGTCTCATCACCTCACCTCTCCTTCTGGGCAATACCGCAGGTTAAAGTACAACGGGATCCTCTATCCTCTATTTATATCTCTTCTGAACCAGGCGCTGTCAATCACACTCCATGCTGATGCGAAGCTTGGGGTTACCTTGGGGATGTATCTGCTGATTGGGCTTAGCTTGAGTCAAATCCTACGAACGTCACAGTAAATCAAGACCCGGTTGAAGGACGCTTTTCAGTATGGGCAGGGAGAAGTAAGTCCACCACCAATCTGATAAGAGGAGACTTTTCAGACGATGCTTTTCTCACAATACGCAGTGAGATATCAGAGCGCATAGGTACTTAAAAAGGGGACTTTCCAGTCGGAAGCGTTCTCAAAATCGTTTTAAGACCGTACTTATTCCTGGTCCTGATTAATAGTGCGTCCTCGGGCTGAGATTTCCCCCTCGATCCAGACCATTTTAAAGACAAACTTTTGATCAATATAATGGGAACTGCATCTCCGCTATTGCCAGGTCAACTTGCAATGTTCTGGGATTCCGATGCCTGCAGGAAGCCGTTCGCAACTTCTCCAACAAGTTAAATGGGGTTCGCTGGTACAACGGTGCGGGCATCAGTGTCGAATGCGAAACACCTGCCGGTGTTCCGGACTTGTATTGGTGTCACTGGAGGCCCTCAACCACCTACAGGGGAATCAAGTGAGAGGACTAGTCAAAAACCTTCAGAAGATGGTTGGGGCAATTGAATAAACTCTCAAATCCAGTCCTTCGTGCTGAAAGCTTAGAAGGGAGCATGCGACCCCTGCCTCATACTCCAGATTCATACTTTGATGCCTACTTGATTAGTGCGCAAAAGAGTGGACTGGAAAGATCGTATTATTTTTGGACGTGGTAGTTGCGAGCAGAGCAGAATCATAATCTCCATCATGAGACTTTTCATTCCTTACATAGGAAAAGTAGATTCATTGATGTGGAGGTTTCGCGCTTCGAGTGCGGTCCTAGCTACCACGCTGGCTTTCTTTCTGGCTTAGTATTTCATTGGCGTTAAGTACTACCGAAAGAAATTACTAGCAGAGTCTAAAGCATTTACGTGATCCGCAGGTGGATAGGTTACTTCGGCAAAAGTATCACGTTTTTTCATGCGACCGAGTGGATGCAATGGATCTCCAAAAACATCCTGCAGAAGTGGGGGCTGCGGCTTGAAGGAGAGATTTGGTACCAAGGCAAGTGGATTTTATGCCGCCTAATCGGCGCCAGTCGCTCATCGTGTCCTTCATATCTCAGATTGGTCGAGAAACGTTTTGTAGACCCTGCGAAGTAGGCAGACCACACGCTTGTTCGCTTCTCTGAACCTTCAAAATACGGAGAATGTTGTACAATTTCGAATGCAAAGGACTGACCTTCAAAGGTTTCTCGATATTCTGCAACAACTGATTGAAGAAAAGCACGGCTAATCGTAACATACAGAATCACTTAGACTCCCACATTCGTTGCATACCTGCTTGCGGATGAGCATCGATTCTAAAACCGGCTCATGCATATCGTCGCAGCCATTTTTTTACAATCTGAAGAATTGATTCTGAGGCCGGCTTTCTATGCACATCCTTGCAGCAATTTATTCCAATCTGAAAGCCTTGTTGTTCTACAGGTGAAAACAGATCACTAACGGGCAGATTTGTAGCGACCACAACTGGAAAGATCACAAAGCAGGATGCGAGGTCGAGCCGGATGCAGAACCTGCTGGGTGCCGCAGCTAGAAACGATGTTGCGCTGGCCAAAAGTCTGCCCCGAGCGCAGCTTACGAGGAGAGACGCTTTTGGGAGAACGCCGTTGATGCTGGCCGCGTGCTTCGAAGCTTATGAGATGCTGGAATGGCTGACGGAGCAATCGTCTTCCGAAGAGCTGTACCTGGATCAGGCGAAATGCACGCCCGGGGTGAGGGTCTGTTTACGATCTGTTACGTTCTGGCAGTATATGAAATTCTCAATTCAATATATGGTAGCATACGTCTACTGTCCACCGTCTCTTTGAGAGACCGAAACGGACTCGAGCTGGCTGTGGCTTATTTCAGGCATAGAGAGTCAACAGATTAGCCTGTCGACCGTTCTTTAGTAGAAAGAAGGAACACGCCTGGCAAAAGCCGAAGGAAATAGACCGTAAATTGCAGATGCTTGGATCTCACAGCATCTCGTTGCACTTGTCTGTTCTTTTTCTGCACCGAGAGGGGCTCTTGTCTATCTGCGCTCTGCTTTAACCCGTTTTCAAAGAGTTCTAGGATCCCAGATTGACCCGAAGTGACTGATGCCGACACAACCTTAGTTCAGCTGATACTGACACTGATGATGTCAATCAAACGTTCCTGGTTTTACCCTGCATATAACGGATGGAAAGAAGGTGTGCATTCTTCCTCTTCTCTGATCGTAGTCGGAAAAATAAGTGAGTTGTCTCAATACTCGGCGCGCTAGGATACGTGTCAATTAACGCGACAGTCGGCTGGCTGGACGTGAAATTTGACTCTCTCTTCCTTTTATTCAGACGATGAACGGCCTTGACTTCGAAAAGGAGACTCTCTTCCATCTCCTCGCGCGCCTCGACCTCCAAAATCCCGCCTTCCAGCGCGCCCTGAAACACCTTTCCGCGCACCCCGTTCCGCCGGAAGCGCTGAGCTCCTTCACCGGAGAGCACCTCGACGGACCAACACCCCTGGGCCTTGCAATTGAGCGGGGAAACCGGGTCTTCGCGGAGTGGCTGATAGCGAAGGGGGCTGACGTCAACTTCCACGGGTGGGGTTTCAACTTCAACCCGGAAGGCGAGAGCTACTACTCTTATCCGCTGATGACTGCCGCAGCCGTAGAGGATCCTTACTTCGTAGAGCTGCTGTTGAACAAGGGAGCTCGCATCGACTGCGAGAACGAGCCCAGACAGTCCCTCGTAGGCAGCACGCTTGGCAAGATGACCCCGCTTCAGTTGGCTGCATACATGGGCCGCTTCGAAAACGTGCGCCTTTTGGCCTACTACGGCGCACGATTCGAAGACACGTGGCTGAGCCAGTTCACCACGAGCCGCGATGACCCGGAGGACATCGCCGAGCTCACTGCTCAAACGGTGCGGCAAGGCGTGATCTACCGGGATTACAGTAAACCATGGAAAAGCGCGGAAGCGCTCAAAGACGCACTGAAAAGGTTCGACGCAGCGGCACGGGAGGGCCTCTCCCGCCGCAGACTGCTGGTGGTGTCTGGGATGACGCGCCGAACGGTTCCGAGACTTCCGGAGCATTTGCTCAAGCACGTTATGGAGCTGGCAGGTCTGTTTCCGGTCGTGCAGTTTCCTGAAGATCGGCAGCTGCAGGCTCGAGCGGAGAAGTCCATAGCAAAGTACTGACGAAATTGGTACGAGTCACTTTTGGGATGAGCGCTTCCAGGGATGTGGCACGGGTCTAGGTGGGGCAGCAAGAATTGACCACTGCAATTACAGTTACCATGGACTACAGCATTAGCTGAAGGGCCGAATCCATACCATTTCTTTTTACGCCTGGAACTCATTAGACTTTCCATGAAGCTTGCCGCTGAATTTTTCTTATGGTATTCTTAGGCCGCCCGTCACCTCGGCCGGGCACTTAGACAAGCTTTTACCTAACAGCTGATTGTTTGAGCAACGCACTGTTTAACGATCAATCAGGCAATCAACACTGAATTGTGTACGTAAGCCCATTCCCAGTCTGGCGGGATGGCGGCCGGGCCGCTGGCGTGTCTGGATGCGAAGACATGAAAGCATGTTCTGGCAAAGCTGAGTAGCAGTCTCATCATCATGCGGGCGGCCCCGGGGCACTATATTTCCTTAAGCTTGATAGCGCGCGAACAGACTGGAATTCCGTGCGCCGGAGGCTTGTGCAAGGGCGTAATTTGCGACCATGTGCATATGATCCCAGCCATGCCGGGCAGAGTCGCAAGACTTCCATGACACGTACGCCGGAAACATCGTATCTCATTGGTGTACGGCCTCGTCACGCGGACGGTCACGCGGACGACGACTCAAGTGTGCACCGCCGGCCCGCCGTACATGATCCCGCATATCTCTGCATATCGGAAACAGGGCGCGGCAGCACATGCATCCAATGATCGCCAAGGCCGGCCAAGCTGTGTGTTAACGCAGGCCCGGCGCACGGCCGCGCCGTACTGAGCCGCCCCGGCCCCAAAGTGACGTACAGTGAATTGATCTGAGACCGGCGAAGTGCAAGTGACCAGAATGAAGTTTGAACCAGTCCGACTGATACATTCTGGGCGGCCCGGGGCGGCCCCGCGGGCCGGGCCCATATGCACCAGAAGATCACAAGCGCGGGCAACATGGTTTGCATGAGTCAATGATAGGATCGATTGCATGTTGATCGTTTGGACAGTAATTACAAGACTTGCTTAAACGATGCCACCTAACAGCGTTGGAACCAAGCGCGGCCGATTATGCATTTTTAAGGGTCAACAGTTCACAGGCAATCGCCGCCATGAAGTCAACGTCAAGTAAGTCGTATTTAGTTTCCAAGAGTCTGCCCTGCTTTCATGAAGAATCTGGGGAGTGTTCGCTTGGAGGACTTGGATCCTCTGTGCTGCCCCGTATGCGCTTTTAGATCTCCCTTACAGCCGGCCGCCGCTGCAGCCGACTCACAACACGTGTCAGCACGACTCGCGTCCGCAATCCACCTGTCATGAGCTTCAATATACCAATCCGGTAACACAGACGCCAGACCACCTGCTTCGTTCTTACTCAAACACTGTTCGTTGCTGCCGACCTGAGTCTCGGAGCGTTGCAAGTTCCTCTCCGGACTTGACACCTGTGCAGCCACCCCTTTGCCGAACTCCTCTTGCTTGACTTCCCGCCGGACGTCCCATTCTAAACACGCTGCGTCCGTGTCCGCACTCGCTCGGAGCCGAGCCTTGTTATGCAACCCCGACGACCATTCCCCGGCTAGCCCCCGCAGCAAATCCTGCTCGTCCAGGAGAGTATTCACACCGCTGTCCAGAGCGCCAAGTCCCCCAGGTCTCAGTCCGCCTCTTTCCTCAGGAAGCGGCCCCGTTCCTTCGTCGAATGTCGCGAAGTCCGCGGCTTTTGGCGCAACGCTTGCCGATGCTTTAGGCGGGGATATCGAGCAGACTCGGAAGCGCTTGCTCCTGATCACGACCCGGCGCACCTTTGGAAGGGCGCTCCGTTTCCGGTTCCGTTTACCCCTCAGCACAAGGGCGTCTTCCCCGTCGTCTACAAACCCGACCCTGTCAACTCCGTCCGCACACACCGGGTTAGCCGAAACCTCTGCCAAAACCGGGTGGGGTTCTTGCAAACCACGCCCCTGACCCCACTGCTTGCACAGCTCCCCGAAGTGCGCGTTTGGACACGTGTCCAAACCGTACGGGTCCTTTCCGGCGATCGGACGGATGACGCTCGGCCTCACCAGCCGCACGAAAGCGTCCAGCTCCACGAAGCACGAGTGCAACGAGTAGGGAACCCTAAAGAGAAGCGGCTCCCTGGGGGCGCTGGGCTCAGGCAGGGGTTTCTTTAGGCGTTCCCTCGCGGCCGCTGCCGCGCCCTGAACTTGCACCGCGCCTTTTCGCCGTGAACTGGGGAGATGCCGCTCTTGAATATCCTGCGCCGCGCCCTCAATTCCAGAACACTCCCTTGCCGACGTCAGCACGTCCGCTGCAGGCGTCACAGCCGGCATCGCGCTCCGCAACAATTCTGCCTGCTCCTCGTTCGAAAAAGTTCCGCACCCCCTGCCTTCCTCCTCCGCTTCGTCAGAACGCCTTTGCTTGCTGACACCCTCAGTAGGCCAGCCCCGGTTACCAAAACCAGGAATGGGAACCTGGGCGGTACCGCCGCTGACTCTGCTCCCAGGCGCACGATTCCCATGGCCCGGTACGGCCCCCCGGTGGTTTGGTTCGCCCGGTTGACGGTCGAGACTCCGCCAGCCTGAGGGGACGATCCCGATGGTGGGCGCGCGCGCGTTGAGAACGCGCAGGTGGTCGAAGTTGACGCTGCGGCGCGGGACGGCGCAGATGCGGGGGCGAGCTGTTTCGGACACTTCAGGCGGTTCCAGCGGTTGGGAGCGTTCGGCACTATCGGACGGTCCGCATGATCTGGAGGGCTCCGATGTTGACGGCTTTGCAGGATGACCCGACCCGGAGGTTGCGGACGGTCCGGAAGGTTCGGACGCGTTTGAGGATTGGAGTGCGTCAGACGGTTCTGATGGGGAAGACGTTCTGGAGGCTTCGACCGGTTCGGACCGTTCGGACCGTGTCGGGGAAGCGTCGGACGGTTCAGAAGGGGCGGAGGAACCGGAGGCTTTGAGTGGTTCGGACCGTGCGGACGGTGGGGCTGTGGCGTAGATGGAGGGGCCCGGGAGGAGGGTGAAGACGTCCGGCAGGCCGAGGACCCGGGCGAAGGCGAGGCGCTCGGGAGAAACGGCGATCTGCCGGCGGGAGGAAGCGTCACAACGGGTTTCAAAAGTCGCTCTAGTTGGAAGGGTCCTTAACATTTGGTCGTTTGATCTGGCCTACTCACGGAAAATTAAAGCTTTTGAGCTTTCATAAATTGGTTGTATGGCAACAATGCGTGTGCCAAGGTTCTTTTCTACAGCAGTGGTTTCGCGAAAGGAAAAAGAAAGCATCTTGAAAGCAGACTTCAGTGGATATTGCCTCTATCTTGTAGAGACAGAAGAACAACTCAACCTCACGAGAAACGAAGAGGGGCAAAGTCAAGAGACTGCTTCAAAGTAGCATAGTTCCCAACTAAATCAAGAAGAAGCTGAGCAGCGGATCAAGTCGTGCAGGACGCTTCGCAAGCAGCGTCGTCTCTGCAAAGTATTGTGCATTCGAGCGGCATATGAATCATCCTCGAAATAGATGGGAAGCTTTTGTAGCATCACACAGTGTGCCCTTTTCGAAAGTTAACCTTCGAAACCCTTTCCATCCTCCGCTCAACCTTCTGTAATGCGACAGAGCCGCCTGTGCCCTACCTTGGTTCGGAGCCTGGTGGCGATTGACACTAACAAGTCCTCCTTGCCCAGGGAGTCGACTCCAATCAGTACTTGGTGTCTCGGGTGGGCTTCCAGTATCGCGCACACCTGCCGGCAGGAGAACGAAGGAGTCCGTGAAGAGAGATTGACGCCAGCTGTTCAGTGAAATCAAACATGAGCCTTGCCGGCTGGGAGCCAATCGTAAAGAAACGCCTTTGAAAAGATGATGCACAAAGTCCAACAATTCCTGTATCACCGAGGATCGCAGGGTTGTGCTTCAGACGAAGTTAGAAAAAACGCCTCGGATGTCCTCAGTTGGGGCCAAGTTTTTGAGCAGGGAGTTCAGAACGGTCTGGAATCTTACAACCGCACTCAGTGAGCTGAATCGAGAGATTTTTGATGATTTCAGGTGCATTTCTCTTTCAACTATGACGAAGATCAGTAATGTGCAATTCCGGCTTTCGCAATGATTGTCAGGTCCTCCTGTACAGTGTAAACCCTGTACATAAACACAGTGTAAATCAGCAGATTTCCCAAAAACTTTTTGGTCCGTTTGTCACTCATCAGTAAAATTCGGAAAGCGCTCCTTACCTGCTCCAGTGCTTCCGCCCGGTTGGGAAACCAGTACATCGGATGGCAATACGTGTTGTCCAAAAAGAGGACGTCAACCGGACGCCCCTGGAGGGCCTCCTGCAGCTGACGCAGTCCTGACGTCAGCGGCCGCGCGGCCTCGTCGGCGCAACCTTCTGAGCACGTGAGAGCTAGTTTGCTGGTCTCTGGAAGGGGGCGGGAGGGGGAAGGGGCGGGGGAACTAGATGTGGGAAGAAAAGCGTCCCAGCGGAAGTCGCCGGTGTGCAGCCGGGTGCCGAAGCTGCCCCGGAAGAGGAACATGACGGAGCCTGCAAAGGAGTGGACGGGACGATTCACAACCTCCGGTAATCCGAGTTTGGGTACTCAACAGAGAGTTACTGCATGTAGCTGCCCAACGGGATCATTAATGTCCATGACAAGTACAGGGCGTTCTCCGGAGGTTGTATCCTGGCAAGGTCAAATGAATGCATCTCGTAGGACGTACTGAAATTAAGATGGAGCTTGAGAGATTTTTCAAGACAATCGGTACAGCCAACCTCCATGAGAAAGTCATTGAGCAGAGGTAAACATCAGGTAACCCATACTTTCAGAACACCTCAGGTCAAAAAGCCATGCGTGCACGATATATTGTAGGAGACTCTCTCCACCGTTTGTTGACTTGCATTCGCACTATCAACACCGGTAGCCGAGGACCAAAGGGTTGGCAGAATTAGGAGTCGCAACTTAGCCAAAGGCCGGCTGGCTCTCGCCGTCTTGGTATTTCATTTTTGCATGATGGGGCAGGAACGAGACAAATTAAGCCCTTGGAGTCAGTCCATGAACAAGTCAGTGAGCCCGTTCTGTCAAGACCCATACTGGCCGCTTCCGTACTGAGAGAAACAACCTGAGACGAAACAAACAAGCGGAGACTTCACAGTTCTTTCTCTGTCTGCAAAACTTCACCATTGACTCACCGGGGCAGTGGTGCGCATCGATGGGCGTGACCTCCATCAACTCCTGTCGCTGCTGCTTGCCCCAAACTTCGACCATGGTGTGAACACCGACTTCCAAGGGGCGCAGCAGCCCCTTGCTGAAGCCGGGAAAGCGGACGCAAAGCAACTGAGCGGTCACGTGGGAGCAGTAGAGGGGCCCCCGAGACCAGGTGCTTCCCAGGCCCTTGATGTGGTCGCCGTGCATATGCTGCACGAGAGGGCAAAGATCTTTGTAGAGAGAGGGGCAGGAGGTAGGTATTGGTAAAAAAAGGGGCAAGCGATGTAAGTAAGGGACGATCTCTTCTGAGGCGTTTAGATTACTTGGTGTGAGAAGGTGACAGGGGGCATAGGGGACAATTTGAAACATCAATCCACTGCCGTCCATACGCTGCAGGAGAAAGACCATGGGAAGCCGCATTCATATAAATGCAGCTCATGCAGTTGGCCAGAATAAGCAAGGCATGAAAATGCGGCGAAAGGGGCTGCTATTCTGCAGATCAGCGCTTGAAGAAAGCTGAGAGTTTGTGTTGGATCTTTTGCTGCTGTCTGCGATCTGGCGATGGCAGGGCTTACATATTTCAATCCTTGCTCACCATTTGACTTCAATATCACAAGGGCCTCAAACTTGGACGGACTCGGAAGTCAGCACTTAGAGAGCCTCAAAGACAAGGCTGTAATCTGAAGGTCTCACAACTTGAGAAACTCACCGTAAGAAAGTATGCTCCGCTCTGTTTCTGCCATTGGTCTACTAAGAACAGGTGCTGAAGGCCCTCCATGGTCCAGAATATGACGCTCGCAGTGAACAATCTCAACTCTGCTTCTTTCGCCTTTCAGTCCCTGTAACATTGCAACACCCCACAGAGAAACGCATACCATTGAATTCAACACGGTGACGTCCGTAGCCCATCAAAAAATGTGCACTCGTCGTTGAGGAGACTGCGAGGAGGACGGAAAATAGGAGAGCGCTTCATAAGCTACACAGCCTGATTCCTGAGCTTCAATCTCCATGTCCCCCATGCATTTCCAAGATTGTTCCTTGAAATTGACCAGTGCCAACCAGTGCCGATCGCAATGTTCAACATACTTAAATATGTTGATGACAATGTTGTTCAGAATCAAATGCCTCAGCCTCAGGCTCAGGCTCAGGCTCAAGAGCAATGGGCCCCCACTCCAACTTCAACGTTTTTGAAGCAAAATTTTCGAAAAATGGACAGTTGGTTGCCGGGCTCTCGTTCCAACCGGGCAATACCAACTAGCCAACTGCTGAACGGCACAAAATCCTCCAACCTCCTGCCGCCACGTGTCCCCCCCATCCCGCGCGGAAGGCTGCGGCTTCGCGCTCGGAAACCACCCGCGATACTTAACCCCGACATCGGTGACCAGCCTTCCCCAATGACATTTCTTAAGTGACCACCTCAAAAAAATGCGCGCAACCCGCATTCCAACACTAGGGTTTGATTGCTGCTCCAGGAGGGTGCAGCGCTGATCAAGGGCTGTGCATTTGGCCCTAGCGGCTCCCTACAATCATTCATAGGCAGCCACGGCTCTGGTTCGCGACCGCAGGTGGGCCACTAAGCAGCTTTTTACCACCATGACGCAGTGAGCGCGCGCGCGCGGAGCAACACGGCTGGCCTCAATGACTCATTGCAAACCCACGACGAAGGTATCCGAATCCGGCTTGCATTTGTGCGTGTGCAAAACGAGATGGCACATGCCAACGTTAGACATGTCGCATGTCCAGTAAACGGATTGGCGTGCAGTGCTTTGCTTACCTAGCTATTCAACAGCTTGAATCTACACACCTTATGCCTTGACAACCGCGATATGGGGCTAACCAATTCAATATTTGAGCAGGAAAGCTCCAAATGCCTCAATTGCTTTAGTTGCTTCTGCAAGCAGGCAATGCATGGCAGCTTGTTCAGTTATCCAAAGTCCGAGTCTAGCTATCAGCTGTTTCGAAGCCGTCGGCTGTACTTACAATTAAAGCCAAGACACGCTTCACCATAACCTTTCCCTTTTTCTGCAATGGAGAGCGTTCGCCTTAAAACGTGCCAGTAGGGTCGCACCACTGTACATTTGCATTTGCCTGTTCACTCGGGCACAAGCACTAGTGGCAATGAAGCTCAACTACCTGCCAGAGGAAGCTTCAATCGAAGAACCCATTGCTTTACGCTCTTGAGGACGGCAGGGACTTCCTCATCTCCTAGAACTTTCTTGCCCTTGGACCAAGATTGCCATCCGTACTCATCAAACCTCTCTGTCGGGACCACATGCACTAAACGAACCTTCACTCCGCTTGCGCTGGCGCGCTCCACCAGCTGCCGCATCCCTTCTGCGCTACATCGATGCTGGACGTTGCGCGTGAACTGGACTGCGTTGACCAGCCGTCGCCCGAGCAAACTAGTGAATCCCAAGACTCCTGCGTTTTTACCAACGGCTTCACATACGTGGGCCGTTCCAGCTTGGCCAAGTCGATTCCTTTGCTCGGTGCGTCATACTTCTTTTCCTTGCTGCCCCCAAACGCTTCCTGGATCTCCTTGATTGCTTGCTCCCTCTGTTCCTTCTCTGCTTCCTTCTCCGCTTCCGTCTCCATTCGTGGCCGACCCACTGCCCCCTTGGACACCTCCTTGACATCCTCGGGATCTAGCGCTATGCCCTGCTGACACATGTCATGCCCGTTCTGCTCTAGAAGATCCCCGGTCAGTTTGCCCAAGGTCGGCTCCTCAGCCGCAGCGCGCAGCATCGTCGTCAGGTCCCGCCACCTGCCGAGCTTAGCTTTCTGGTAAACAAGCTCTTTGATTTTTTGTGAACCGAGGGTGTAACCGACCCACTCAAGGTCTTCTGTTGCCTGCACATGACAAGAGTGCAGAGGTGATTAGGGTGCAAGTCCGTGGTATGTGGTCCATGTGCAGATGAGCGCATGTCCTCAAGTCTGCTGCACACCTCCGCTTTCAATTTGTGAGAACTTCAAAATAAGCACAAGCCTTATAAGCACAGGACCAACTAGAGAGGAGCCCATTGTGTCACCTGCTTCGTATTGCTCAAACATGCAATCCAAAGATGAAAGGTCGGCTATCATTTCAGCCATAACTTTTGACCTGTGCGCCAAGCTGACTCACCTCGATGTGCGCGAAAATGTGTCGCACTTCACTGTCCGAAGACTGGGCGCTCAGATTGTACAGCTCCACGGCCTGGTCGGCATCTAGCGTGCGCGCGATGTCGTCAAAAGACGAGGTAGGGTTCGCCAAGACGTGCCTGACGAGCCCGCCAAACTCCTTCGCGCGCTTCTCCATCTGCTCTTGCGACACCTGCTCGTAGAGGTGCTCCCGGCAGTCCTCCAGCTCCTTCAGCGTCCACACTGGGAGCCACCACAGGAAGCATCCCCTGCACCACCAATCCAGATTGCCCAGGTCACAAAGGCGAAGTGACCGCAAAAGCAAAAGCTTGGGGTCAGTAAGGGTGTAAGAGCCACTAGACAACCAGCCTGTTTGTGCCAATGAATGAAGGGGAAATCGCAGGTGTCAAGCCTAGGAGGTAAAAGATGATCCTGAAGGAAATAGGGGATTGCAAGAAGGCGCCTGAAGGAGGCGGCCTTGGAGCCAGGTTTGACCGATTTCCAGCGAGGTGCTGCGGTATCAATGGCTTGCAGCCAGGGTCCAATGCGTCCGTAACCTAGCCAAGGTTGCAGAACAACAAGAACAGAGGGACCGTACAACAAGCACGTATTTACAGTTGCGCGTTGCAGGCCCAGGCAAGCACCCAGGACCTTGGACACATCAAGGATTCGATTCCTCTCAAGCATGAAGAGGTCAATTTGGAGCAACTATTATCGTTGTTCCAACAACTTACCGTCCCTTGACGAACTCCCAGTAATTGCCTCTGTTGGGCGAGCACAGTACCACGCAGCGACCGTAACCCCGGAACTGCGTGTGAGGAGGCGCTCGTCCATCTATCACTCGCCAGACAGTGGGGCGCGCAGAGAGAGCTGCACAACAAGAGGGGCCAATCACTCTGGGGTGGGAATGCGGCAAAACCTGTCACATACTACTTCATCCACAGCCCAGACCCAGAGTGTGCGCTTTCGCAGGGGCTTACACTGTCACCTGACTTCATCACGAAAGCGCACTTGCATTCAATATCCACCAACATAGGACCTTTGCAATCTTTGAAGCTAGAGCCAACTACCATTTGCTGCATAACATGGCTTTCACGGTCGCAACATCATGTGAAACTGTTTGCTCACATTCAAGGGATGGGAAGTCAGCAGCGCTTTCAGAGGCCCTTTTTACGTTGATGGCGGATGGATCTGAGAAATCGAAGAAGATTATGGTGTCCCGTGTAGCCTCATCCTTGTACCTGCAAAGGCAGACTGAGAATGTTGGCAGGAAACGAGGAAGCATGAATCCCTTGTCTGGGAAGCCCTTGTTAGAAGCAAGGTGCGAAGCATGATGCTCAGCGACACACGCCACAAGTCAAAAGCAGGCGACTACAGAATTGGCCGGCCAAGATGGTGTACGGTACCTGTATGCCACTTGTGCCCCCTGCTTTGCTAGATGGTGCAACAGCAGGACTGCAAACGCTGATTTGCCGATGCCCGGAGTGCCACTCAGGACGACCGCAAAGTCGTTCCCAAGAGCCTCGAGCTTCTTGAGCACCGTGCGATAGGATTCCCGGATGAAAATGCTGTCCCTCAGGCCTGGCGGCATTCCCTCCCTGAGCTCGTGCGGAATGTCGATGAATCCACTAGCGATGTCTACTTGCGCGATGTACTCCGCGTATTTCTGGAGCCGCTCTGGAATAGAAAGCACATCATTATTGTGGTGGGGGCTGACCACTGGCAGATCCAACGCTTTTTTGCTGATGCAAGAGATCCTGCATGAGTCAAAAAGTACCTGAAACACCGATCAAGCAGAATACTATGCTGACCGTGCGACCGAACGCTCCAGCACACCACGGCGACAAGTGGAGCTAGGTACAAAGCCTCACCCAGGACTGCAGGGTCTTGAGCCGCCACCGCTGCACACGGCAGAAGCTCTCTGTCAGCACTCCATACGCAGTCACTGGATAAGCCAACTGCAAATGCTTAGCATGAACAGCGGCAATAAGGTTGGAAGTACACTCTCTGCACCGCGAAACCTTTCCGTCTGCATGTGGCCCTGACCCATGAACCAACACACGAACCTCAGGCAAACCCAGATACAAAAGCCCTTTTGAAGCAGCAGCTCAACTCTCTCTAAACTCTTTCCACTGCGAAGCCTTTCAACCTGCAGGTCGCCATGACCCATTGAGCAACGCATGAATTGCAGAAAACGCCAGATGCAAAACCATCCATGGCGTGTGCCCTGGCGCTCTCTTTAAGAAACATCAACAAGTAGCAGCAGGGGATTTCCCCTGCACCACAACATTGGCAGCAGAACGCTGCCCATGGTCATTCCCATCTATGCGCTGGTTTGCTGAGCTGCTCCAAGGAGAGGATCTCTGCACAAGGCCGCTCTCCATGCGTCCGACAACGGGAGACGCACCTGGTGTCCGCTGCAGCTTCAGACTTTCTACCTCCGCCTGCATGAGCGCGGTCAGCCGCTGCTCCAGCGCGGCCTTCTGCTGCTCCAACGCGACCAATCTTTGCTCCAACGCGACCAATCTTTGCTCCAACAACTCTGTGCTCTTGCCATCAGCCGCAGCCGCAGCCGCAGCCGCAGCCACAACATCGATCTGGTTCTCCACACGTTCAATTCTCTTCTCCGCACGCTCGATACTCGGCGTGAGAGCCTGTGCCTTGAGATCTGCCACCTGAGGCTTACGGTTGTCCCCGCTGGGACTCCCAGCGGACTCTGCTCTTCCCCGGGGGGTCTCTGCCCTCGGCGAGAGGCGCCTCAGTCCTGAACACACCTTGTACTCGGAATGGAACCGGCCCAGCCTCGATCCCTCAAAAAGAGGGCGAGGAAGTGCCCTGAAACCAAACCGCTGGGGCATTGCAGGGGTAATGTCTGCCTGCCCGCACGAACATAAAGCCTTCGCCCCGGCCGCCTTGAAGAGCACTGCGGCAGACGCCATAGAACCTCACCAGTGACGTCTCGCGGAGACTATTGAATGCGGTGCTTAAGCCCTTCCAACCTGCCACTCAGCCCTCGCACTCAACTTCGACCACAATGCTGGTTGACAAAGCTGAGGCCCAGAAGAGCGCTAGATTCAGGGGTACCGAGCGTCGATACGACCGGTTTAGGGGGTGAACCCTGCTCACGGTGGGCGAGCCTTTCTAGGACAGAATCAAGCGAAGCTGGAGCAATTGCTTTAAGGACAGGCTTTCCGGGAGGTCTTGTCGATTGTGCCCATGAAGATCACGATTCTCCTCAGTGTCGGCCATCCTGCTTCGAGAGTAACCTTTTCACTCTGGCCTTTGCTCATGCGGTGGCACTAAAAGCTTAGTATCCCAAGGAGGAGCGCGCCTGCCCAGCTTCCAAGCTTTCGGCTCTCAAGTTGCATCAACAGTCAAGTTAACCCCGAACTCGGAAACCTGCTTTCTCGTTCCGGTACGGTTCCCGACTGGTTCCGACCCTGATCGACCACCCGCGCGGACACTGGACAGTGACCAAACCGCGTCATGCTCCCTCTTGTCTGCACGTTTTGTCCTTCTGGACCAGTATTGCGAACCGTCCTGTTCCCTCGGGCCTGCACGTTTGTCAAGCTGAGCAGAGAGATTGCAAACACCATCTTAAAGCTTTCAGGCAGGGCTGCTCCACAGCGACACAGGCAGCCCTGAGCAGCAAAGTATAAAAGCCCCTTCCATTGCCATCATTCTTCAATCCATGTCTTCGCAGCGATAAGCTGCCAATTCCTTCTCAACAACCTCTCACTCTCTCGCATAATTCCAGCCACTTCAGCTAGCAATCGCTGCCAGACTCAATCCTGCAGCAAAATATCAACAGTGTACGACACCAGCAGTGACGCCCCAGCGGACGTGACCAGCTTCTTCAGCCACCCGCCTTGGGAATCTCAGCAACGCGCCCCTGGTCAGACTTTCTGCAACTGATCTTTCTTCCTGTTATGACCGTGCAGAAAGATCAGCAGATTACAAGTCCTATTTGTTTGAAGGGGTCAGTCAAAAGTTGCCAATCATACGCATAAAGAAAGAAGAGTCTCTAACTGCGAGCAACTCATTTGCAATCAGCAGCTATGCAAAGCCATTCTGAGCTCAAGCGCCATGAGTTGACGCATATATTGCTGGTGCTCTTAGCTTTGTGAAACGGAAAGATGAAATTGCTGGTTTGATCTCAATATTTTCATCGATCGTGAAACTTGCACGGTGTTTTTGATCTGAATGACAGGGTAAGGGCATCGTTTCAGCAGCAGGAGGTTCCCTTTTGGAAACGTGGAACTTCTGTGCTGAAGGGTTGCTTGTTCAAAACACCCGTAGGCATCAGCATACCTGCCATGGGGTCTGACCTGTGCTTCCCTTGGGAAAGGTGAGCTTTATCCCCTGCACAAAGGGCAGCTCCTGAAGTTGCAGGGTAGTACAGCTTTCGAGAAGCTTTGTAATGCTGTGACATCTCGCAAAACTGCCTGCAGGTCATAGCCATGGTCGGTGCCAGGCTGATTCACCACCATTGCACCACCTCTGCAGCACACTCTCCTATGCTAGCTAGCATCTGCTCCATACTCTGTGGACCCAACCCATTTAGCTCAAATGTTGTAGCGGAACATCTTCAAGTCGACGCGCCTTTTTGCTTATTCCTCCCCCCATTCTGGACTGCCGCAGCCTGCAAAAACCCTTGTGCTGATAGTCCTTTCTCTTTGCAGCGACCTGTCGGCTTCTGATGCCTCTGAAGGAGAGGATCTTGAAGGCGTTGAGTATGAACCTCGTTCCATCGATGGGTCTAAGTCAGAAGAATCACGGAGAGCTTCTTCAATGACGATGATTCTGCCAGCGTTCAGGGGCCGAGTTTCTACCGAGCTATCAACAATGAAATTGTTGTCAACCCCAGGAACAAGAAGAACCAGGCCCCAGTGAGTCGTTCAAAACGGAAGTGCCTCGTACACTTGCACGCTCAGCAGATTTGTTACCTTCCTTCAGAAGCATATGCTAGCACAGCCAAGTCCATGAGTGCTTTCATTTTTGTTGCTGTTGACTGTTGCTTGTCTCATTTTGAGGTGTCGATTGATCTTTGTGAAGCGGGAGGCAAGCTGCCGAGGTTATGATGGTGAGAAAATGCTCGTGTCATTGCTCTTAAGGATATTCACCGGCCTCTCCGTATCGCTGGAACAAGAACAATGCGTTTAAAAAGGATCCCCTCATAACACTCCCAATCAAAGGCAAGGTAAAGAGAGAAGGGGAGGGGCTGCATGCCTGACTAGTTTTGCCTAGTGGAAAGGGTAGTGGGTGCGACAGCTAGCAACCAGGCTCGATGGCAACATGAGCCAGAAATGGAAGGTGGAAAGTACGGCGCTGTCGCACGAAGCGGAATATCAAGGTTGATTTCTGCTTTAGAGCAATGGGTTGCAGCAACCTTCCGTCTTGGATATACTTGTGAGTATAATTGATGAAGTTCCATCTTTGTAGGTGCTGTCCCCTCGCCGCTTACCTGCCGGCCGCTCACCACGGAGAGTAGAGAGAGATGGGAAAATGACTTCTCCTGAGGAGGAAGATGATGGTCCAGTGCTTACTAGCGGGCAAGCACTTATGACTAAGCTTCGGCGTATCATCCTCTCACAGGAGTCACAGGAGGAGACCGCAGCAACATTGCGGCCACTTCTAGAGGTGCGGTCGCTATGTACTTAAATCGTTTTTGATGTGTGCACTAAGATGATTTTGTGTTTTTGAAAGAACTGTCAATCCGGATTGTATAGCTTGGATTGACTCCGCTAGGAGCTGTTTCTAGTTTAGTGTGTATATATTAATGTGTATCAAGAGTGTTCTATCGATCAGCCGGTGCATGCAAGGCCTTGTACCACACAAACATGTGTAGCACACGGAGAAAATCTGATGGTATATTTGCAAAGATGCATTGCACAGAGGCAAAATGTGGTGCGGTGTATACATAAAGAGGTGTATCAGTCCGAACTTCCAAGTGCATGACATCTGTTATAGATTATGCATTTTCTTGGATGCATCAAACACCCCACTGCAGCCAAGACTGCCCCCTCGAGTTATTGCGCAGGTCTAAAAGTTTAACAAAAAACAATTAAAAGGGCCTTTCCTTTCTATATGTAAAATTGGCAACTTTTGACTGGCTCCTCGACCGCCGGAGTTGCACAAAACTTGAGGTGAATACAAAATGCATTTCTAGCCTAGCGTAGCCAAAACCCCTCTCCTTTTCTATATATATAATCGGTGACTTTTTGGCTGATCCCTCGGGTTGGAGTTGCGCAAGTCTTGAGTTGAATACTAAAAATGTGTTTCTAGCCTAGCACAGCCAAAACGCCTCTCCTTTTCTATGTATAAAACCGACGACTTTTGGCTGATCCCTCGACCGCCCGAGAGCAACGTAGACTAGGGAAGGAGCCATAGGAAGAATTCCTAGCCTAGCGTAGCCAAAACGCCTTGCCTTTTCTTCCTAAGATGTAAAAGCGGCGACTTTCGGTTGATCCCTTGACCGCCGTAGAGTGGCATAGAGTAGAGAAGGAATCATAGGAAGAATCTCTAACCTAGCGCAGCCAAAACGCCTCTCCTTTCTATATATAAAGCCGGCAACTTTTGGCTGATCCCTCGTCGCCATTTCCCTCTTGTCTCCAGGGGGTGACCTCTGAGGCGGATGAGTGGGGCCATATGTGGTGCTCGCGGCTTGCACCGGTAATATCCATCTTCGAAAGCCAGCGGCTACTGGCATCCGACGCCTTTGTTGCTACATGCGACGTTGGCAACAAAGGGGCAAAGATGTACAGCATCTTTACCAGCGCGGAATCATTCGAGGAGTATATTATAAAAAATCAAGCCAACGACAGCACGCCACACGTCTATGAGGTACTGCTTGCTTCGGAGGCCTCTTGGCTATACTTAGACCTCGACTACACGTGTCATGTTCAGAACTCCCAAGATTTCCAACAAAGACGCCAACATCTTCATCGCCTCCTCGATCACTTTTGTGCTGATGTGATGCAGCTGTCTCTTCAACATCACCAGAGAGTGAATCTGCAAGTTGCGGCCTCACATGGATCTATTGCCCAGGGGTGCTTTAAGAGCAGCGTTCATGAAGTTTTCAAAGGAATTTACTTCCCTGATCTTGAAACACGTGTAGAATTCAAGAAAGCCTTCGGTCACTTCTTAGACCATCCTCCCGCTGAGCTAGCACACAGCGCCGAATTTGTACAATACGTGAAACCTGGCAGCACGATTATACACAAAGTTTGGGATTCGGCTGTCTATTCTTCGAACCAGGTTTGGCGTACTCTTTGTTCAAGCAAGCACGGAAGTAACCGCGTACTTTTCTCAGAAGAAGGAAGCTCGGATTGCATTCTTGACCATTTCATTGGCGTTCGAGGAGATGAGAACTTGATTGCCGCGCATAAAGTTGAAATCGAAGTGCTCCAAGCTTACAATGCAACGGCCGGAAGCGATAGCAAAAAAAACATCCGCAAGGATTGCGAGGGTATACAAGAGCGGTCAATCCCCTTGCGGCGGTATTACAATGACAGCTTACAAGACAAACCACTACAGAGGGACCTTAGTCCGGAAGAACTGGCGCGACTTTTGGAGTGTGCTCAACAAGATCATTTGGGCGCGACACTGGAGCGGCCACGACAGATGTGCTCAGGCACCTTCATTGTCCATATCCAAGCGCCCTCTGTAAGCCGCACCTGTTGCCTTGCCGGCCGGCCTCACAATAGCCAGGGCAATGGTCAATACCTTGTCTATCGACGGGCAAAACCAACTGAGGCGTTGTATAGATGCTTCTCACCCCATTGCCAGTGAGTTTGAGTCTTATTTATAAGAAGTTCGATTCTCGAGCTGAATTCACGCCTTTGCTATCACCATCGTTTTTTGCTTTCTAGGAGATAACTAGCTCTTTGAACTATCTTCAAAGAAAACATCCTCTCGTGACCGGCTGAAAATAACGCAAGGCTCTTGGTGCATGCCTGCCTGCATAAAGTTAAATAAGCAAGAGTCAGCCAAAAAGTTGCTGGCAATGGAATCAGTTTCTGTGGAAATTACAAATTGCCTTTAAGCTAACTAAGTGTTTGCTTTCTTCTTTTCTACAGAGGCACCGAGCGCCTGCTCTCTCTTGGAAGCACCCTCCGTTGGACCGAGGATTACTCGTCGCCGATGGGAATGCGGCCATATCCAACACACAGAATCAAACCCGAAACTTTGCGGACCATATTGATTAAAGCAAACAAAGGAATTGGTAAGTCAAAGGCTGGCACTATCTATCTCAAGGAAATGTTAACCATAAATCCCTCCGCCAGTTGCGTCGTCATTGCCGGCAACGTGGCGCTTGCTGGCAAGCATCTTGAGGAGCTTCATAGCGTGGGGTTATCGGACTTTGTCCTCTATTCTGAAGTGGAAGGGAGTATTGAAGACAGACGGGTTGTTGTCTGCATCAATTCTGTGCCACGATTGTCCTCTTTCGATAAAGACATCGTCTACATGGACGAAATCGACATGACTCTTAGCAATCTAAGTTCCGATGTAATGAGGGATCGGCGAATGGTATTTTTGGGGCTGCACGAGATCGTCGAGACAGCGCGTATTGTGGTGGGCTTGGACGCAAACGTCGATAGTGCACGCGTTGTTGAATGGCTCGAAGCTGTTCGTCCTGCCGCCTCCATCTACGCCATCAAAAATACGGGGGTTCGCCGGTCAGAGCGAACAGCTACCATCTTGCCGCTACCCCCTGCAACGAAGTTGAAAGACCGGTTTGCCCCAATTGTGAATCGGATCCTGGCAAACGTCGAGGCAGGAGAAAACATCTGGGTAAGTTTTTCAAAGTGTTGGAAAACCTGTTAAATGCTCGAATCGCTGGTCGAATTGCAAATACTTGTTGTTGCACTCATGCTGTAGCAAATGTCAATTGTTGACATGGTAAGATGTTTCTCTTAAAAGCATGCACTCTCAAACTGTCTTTCAACGTTTAAATGCAAATTGAGTACTTAAAGAGTGCTTCTCATTGCAGGTTGCCTCAACAAGCAGAACCTTTATTGAGCAACTCGAAGAAGGTTTCAATGCAGCGTTCGTCAATGGAGATAAAACGATTCTTACATTCCACGGAGGAAAAACATCGGCAGAAGACAAAGAGTTGCTTCAACGAGCGGTAGCCGAACCAAATGGCTGCATGGTTGCCCACTGTCTCGGTTACTCTCCAACTATTGGGCCTGGCGTATCGATGGAGGCTAAACACTACCATCGTGGGGTAGGGATTGGATTGAATCGCCTAGAGCATGGCCCAGATGTTTTCACTTTCACACAAATGTTACAAAGAGTGCGCGATGGAGGCAATATTGAGATATACTATATGGAAAGCGGCGCCCCCAAGTTTGCACCTTCAACCAAAGAAGACGTCTTTAGAGCGATTGAACGGGAGGACGCCCAACTGCACTCTCTGATCAATCCAACTGAAGTCCTCGACTTTCTGAAATTACGTGGCAAGCGTCCTATTTGTGATCGAGCTTCTCCCACCTGTATTGTCTACGCTAACAATGTTTTGGCAAGGTACCAGAGCGTGACAAACTACGTGAGCATATTGATGAAAGATCTTGAAGAGCAAGGGCTTACAGTGGTTGACAAACTGGAGGAAACGCAGCAGGAGGTCGAGGTACAGGAAGGTCCAGCCGAGAAATCCGGATCAGACCCTGATGCAGATCTTTCCGATGATGAGTGGCGCAAGCGGTTTTGTATCTCGCAAGAGGAAAATAAAGAAATAGTGAAGAAAAGAAAGAACCATGAGGGCGTGAGTAAGCTACAGGAGAAACAACAGAAAATCTACTTTTATGCAAATGAAGTCTACAAAGTGGATTACAAGAAAATCAACCACTCATTCCTTGTGGACTACTGCAACGATTCCACACTGATTGAGTATACAAATTATCGAAGGTGAGTCTTTCTCTCCCTAACGTCACTGCCACGGCCACATTTTTGTGGCTGCTAAAAGAAACAGCCAAAAGTCGCCAGTTGTACATATAGAAAAAGAGAGGTGTTTTGGCTGCCAGGGTCAAGAGTCTCTCTATCTGTTGTTTCGCGATCGGCGTTTCTGCTGCTGCTCGATGACACAGCCAAAAGTTGCCAATTTTACATATAGAAAAAGAGAGGTGTTTTGACTGCCAAATTCAGGAGTCTCTCTATCTGTTGTCTTGCGTCCAAAGTCTCTGCTGCTGCTCGAGGGAACAGCCAAAAGTTGCCAGCTTTACATATAGAAAAAGAGAGGTGTTTTGGCTGCCAAATTCAGGAGTCTCTCTATCTGTTGTTCCGCGTCCAAAGTCTCTGCTGCTGCTCGAGGGAACAGCCAAAAGTTGCCAGCTTTACATATAGAAAAAGAGAGGTGTTTTGGCTGCTAGGGTCAAGAGTCTCTCTTTCTGTTGTTCCACGTCCAAAGTCTCTGCTGCTGCTCGAGGGAACAGCCAAAAGTTGCCAGCTTTACATATAGAAAAAGAGAGGTGTTTTGGCTGCTAGGGTCAAGAGTTTCTCTATCTGTTGTTCCGCAATCAGAGTTTCTGCTGCTGCTGCTCGAGGAAACAGCCAAAAGTTGCCAGCTTTACATATAGAAAAAGAGAGGTGTTTTGGCTGCCAAGTCAGCAAGCCTTTTTTTTGGTCTGCCCGCTACTCTACGACGATCGAGGAGTCAGCCTAACTTTCAACTGTATCCTCAATGATCAAAGAGCATCCATTAACCCCCCCATGTTTCTATATGTAAACCTGGGAACTTTTCGCTGGCAAGGCCGGAACAATAGATGGACCCCCAAACTTAGCAGCCAAAAGTTGCCAGCTTTGCATATGATAGAAAAGTAGAGGTGTTCTGGTTGAAGTCTCTCTATTGCTCTAGCCATTGCTCTATCACGCGGCTCGATGAGACTGACAAAAGTTG